ATATATTGAAGGACAAAAAATAAAAAATAAAAAAATAAAATTTTAATTCATGAAAACCTAGGACAGCGAAAGGCCATCCGCAATGACAGACGCATCATATTTAAAAGTAAAAAAATAAATAAAATAAATGGAGATTTTCTCGCCATAATTGACTTTGGTGACGTGTCCAAATTAAGGTACACACATGACATAAATATGGACGGCTGAAACAAATCTCGAACTCAAAATTCAATTTGTCAAACAAACGCATCCTTAATTATTTTTTACGGAACTTATTTAATATTTATTACTCCTTCCGTCTCAGATACCATATCCACATTGTCGTTTCTGTCCGATCCGCATACCATATTATTTTTTTTTTTTGGAAAATAATTACACACTTTAATCTCATTTTAAATTTTTAAGTTTTATTTTTTTTTAATTTTAATTAAACTAATTAGTTATCTTAATCTTAATTTATAATTATTTATATTATATGATAATTATTTTTACTAATACATTCTTAATTATCTACTAATTACATCCCTCCTAAAATACCGTATCTACAGTATAGCAGACACGGTATCTGAGGCGGAGGGAGTATTATTATTATTTTTTAAACTCTTGGTTGGTATTTTGAATTTTTAATTGGTATTTTATGTATTTTGAATTTTTAATTGGTATTTTATGTATTTTTGAACATATGCTATTTGTAAGTTAATAACAAAATATAGAATGCTCTCTTCGTTTTAAAATTATAGTCTGGTCTGGGATATGTTTGATACGAAATTTAAAAAATATTGATATTATATTAATAGTAGGTAGAAAGTACGGGTAAAAAATCTTTTTGTCATTGTGAGTATATTAGTATAAAAAATAATGACAAAATTGTATAATAATAATAAAAAAATAAGGTTAATTTTATAGTGGTATAATTATTTATGAAAATGAGATTATTGTTTTGAAACGGACAAAAATGGTAAACATCACTATTGTATTGGAACGAACAGAGTATAATATATACTATTGTGGTGGAAATGAGTATCCCACATTAAAAAAATATTGGGACTCTTTTGGTTGTGTTTTTTTTTTTTTTTACCTCATATGTTTATCATTTAAATTCTTTTTTTTCTTAAAAAAATGTCATATCAAACAATTAATTTTTTTATATTATATTATAAATTTATTTTACATTTAAAATATCACATCAATCTCTATTTATATCACATCAAATAACTATTCAAATAACCTTTTATTATTCAAAAATCTAAATTCAAAAACTAAAATTCACAAACAAACACACCCTTTTAGTTATGGGTGAATAATTACTCGACTTAATACTAATTAGTTTTAATTCGAAATTTTGATGGTTTGTTTGTTTAATATTTTGGCTTGAAGTATTTACATATATTTCTTATATGAGGTATAATGAATTATTTAAGTAATTATGAAATATAATACTACATTAGTTCCGTCTCAGTTAACATATTTTTCTTTTTTTGTATATCTAACATTTTTTTATTTGAAGTAAAATTTACTAAATCAAAATATATTTAACAAATATAAATCAAATTAATTAATTAAATAACATATAACATTATAAATTATGTATGGCACACTAAAAACATTTTTATTTCTATCGCTCCTAAATAAAACAATTATTTTTAACAACATTTAATACTCGACATCTTTTATAAAATTTAATTTATATTAATTATAAATAAGTAAACATATGTTTTTTTGTTTACATTTATTATAGAAAATTTATTTTTTAAAAATATTTAAATACATATTTTAATTTTTAAAAAATTATATATATTAAATTTATTTTAAAACTAAAATATTATTAATTATATAAAAAATATAAAAATAATATCATAATTTATTGTTATTAACTAATTGAACATTATTTTCTTAAATAATAGTATATCACTAATGAAAATGTTCAATTCCCCGGGATGAAAAAAGTATTTTATATTGAATATTAATTTTTTTATAAAATAATTAAATATAATATATTATATATATTAAAAATTGTATCGAAATAAAAATATTAGAAGAACAAATCCCGAAATCCGTATAATTTCATAGAGCACACTAAGAGCATCCACATCGAGAAACTTATGATTAGTTTCTCGTAACATGTCCGCATCATCATTTCTTTTTTTTATTTCAATAAAAAAATATATATTTATATTTATATTAAAATTATTATTTTTAAAAATAAATTTAAATAAAAATATATTACTATATATATTATTATATAGAAAATAAAATTTTATATAATACAAAAATATAATAATAAATAAATAATATATTATATTATAAGAATATACAAAATAAAAATCACATGGGACTATCGTAGTTGCTGTGCAGAGCATCTGTATCGCCAGTTTCTCTTCTTTAGAGAAACTCTCTCGCTCCTTACGTGTACATGCCATGTCATTATTTTATTTGAAAACAAAATGCAAAAAAATTTTGCAGATGCTCTGCACAGCAACTACACAACAATTACAATAGTCCCATGTGATTTTTATTTTGTATATTCTTATATAAAATATTATTTATTTATTATTATATTTTTGTATTATATAAAATTTTATTATTTACGTAATGATATATATTAATATATTTTTATTTAAATTTATTTTTAAAAATAATAATTTTATATAAATATAAATATATATATTTTATTGAAATAAAAAAAAGAAATGATGATGTGGAGATGTTAAAAGAGAAACTCATCATAAGTTTCTCGATGCGGATGCTCTAACATAACCTATTATATTGTATATATCAATATATGCATATACATTTGGTATGTTTATTTCGTACACATTGAATGTATTTTTTATGCTGGATATATACTCCTTCCTGTCGCATTTTAAAGTATCAGTCTTATCATTTTTATTCGTCTCACTTATTCAAAGTATTACATTTTTATTTTTTTAAAAAATCATATATTTATATTAAAATACATTTAATTTTTACTTAAATTATAAATATATAATTATTTTACACATAAAATCAAATGACAAAAATAATAAAACTTCCTACACACTTTTACTAATTAATAAAATAATATTATTTCCTTCAAAGTATATATATATGTGAAGAAACATCTAGGTAATAAATAAATATTATGTATTTAATTATTGATTTTATTTATAAATAAATATAATATATATTATATTGTATAAGTGTATTTATATATTAATGGTCATGTTCGTCCAAGGTATTTAGAATTGTGATTGCTAAAAAAAAATAAAAAGAAAAATTCAAATATTAATTATAAAATTCAAATATTCAATTTAAAATAAGTATATTCTATATTTTTTACGCAATTCTCAATATCACACCAAAAATCAATTCATTTAGAACGCTGAGCGAAATCATTATACTACGGTTTTTTATAATATTTATTAAATATAATATTTATTAAAAACAGTATAACAGAAAAACATTGGGTGAACACACTTTTTTTTTCTAATTTGTATTAAATATATTATATTTTATTTGTATAATTCATAAAATTTTATATTTTACAAAATAATAATTATATAGAATATGTATATTAATATAAATTTTAAAACATATAAATACAATAATTAAATACATCAACATTCAAGCAAAATTTAGGGTGTGTTTGTTTTGTGTTTTGGCTTGAAAGAATTTTTTTGATACAGAACTAATTGTGTAGATAATATAAAAATAATAAATGTATAATATATTAATTTTTGGAGAAAATGTGTGTTAGTTTGTTTTGAATAAATTTAAAATATAATTTTAACACAACACAAATAAAAAAAAATTATATTAAACAATACCACGTGGTGTAGTACAAATTTTAGTTTTTTTTAGTCACTCTATTGTTATAAAATGTTTTAGGCACAATATCTGTAGCATGACGACTAAGACTTCATTTTGGCTTAAATTTTGATTCACGCAAAGCATGTTTATAAATAAATAATTTGCTACAATTTGTAAAATATTTTTGGTATGTCTTATTCAAAACACATCAATGAATTATCTCCAATGACTAAGATTAATAAAAAAAAACACTAATATAAAATAAAGTAAATACAAAATTTTAATGATGTAGAATTCAATACAAATAACTTAAACAATATTTTAAAATAAGTCTTTGAATAATTTGGTCTTAACAAATAATTTTACTATGTCAAATTATTATTTTTTTAATTAGTATTTATAGAGTTCTATTTTTGCAATACACTAGTTTTTTTAATATATTTTTTTTCTTTCTTAGTTGTCACATACGAGTACATTATAATACAATTTTTTTACTTTGAACTTATAGCTTTTCAATGTCATTGGAGATGATTTTTTATTTTTTTATTTTTTTTATTTTTTATTTTGTGTGTGTGTGCGCTTGATTGTCTTATTTTTACATGCCTTCACAACGTAAGGAAAAATTTGTACTACACCAAGTGGTGTTGTTAGATTTGTAAAAATTAAAAAAAATGAACTAAAAAATATAAACCAAAGACTTGATTTTCATTTATTATATTACAAATAAATTTAATTTTCTATTAAAAATCATATTAATAAATATTTATATCACATCAAATAATTATTTTTAATACAATTCAAAACCAAAATGCCACGAAAAAAACACTCTTACTAATTTTTGAAACAGCTTTATTTACGGTGGCAGAGCTAGTAGGGGACTGAAGAGTGTTCGCCGCCCACCTAATTATTTGAATTTCGTATTTTTATTATATAATATTTGTATAATTTTTAAAATTTAAATAATTGACCACTTCTATAAATTTAATAAAAGTATTATTATTATTATTATTTATCTACCTCAAATACTTAAAAAAATTAGTTTAAATACTACATATATTTAAAAAAATTCTAAAAAATCCAAATAAAAAGCAAGTTGTTTGTAAGTTTTTAAAATTTTTTATTATATTATATAATTTTAAATTTACTATATATTATTTATATAAAAAATATTTCGCACAGTCTAAAAAGATTTTTTTTTGGCTCCGCCACTGTTCATTTATGATCAGCTCAATCTTCCATGTGCAAGAGAGAACTTCGAAGTACAGTCAGAAAAGGAATCGAATCCTTTTTTTTTTTTTTTCTCAATCGTTGATGTCGGGATTCTTCCATTCTACTATGGGTAAGAAACTCTCGTAGATGCTCATGCAAAGGACTGTCTGTCCGCTATTTATAGCACTGTAAGCCAAAAACACCAGACCATCAAAAAGCTGTAAAGAAATAACAACAAACCGAAACAGCAATCGAACGGCATTATTTTTTGTCGTCAGCTCCGACAGAGCCATAATGGCAGCCGGTGGAAAAATGTCGTCTCCGGCCACCGCCGCCGATCGCCGAAGCGTCACTCGCGGGCCATCCGCGAAGCCGCCGTTCACTTTCGGCGACCTCAAAAGAGCCATTCCTCCCCACTGCTTCCGCCGCTCCCTCGCCCGCTCCGTCTCCTACGTCGTTTCCGACCTCGCGGTCATCTCGCTTCTCTACTACATCGCCGCCGCGTACTTCCACCTCCTACCGCCGCCGCTCCGCCGCGTCGCCTGGCCCGTCTACTGGGTCCTCCAAGGCTGCATCGCCACCGGCCTATGGGTGATCGCCCACGACTGCGGCCACCACGCCTTCAGCGATTACCAGTGGGTCGACGACGCCGTCGGCCTCGTCCTCCACTCGCTCCTCCTCGTCCCGTACTTCTCCTGGAAGTACAGCCACCGCCGCCACCACGCCAACACCGGGTCCCTCGACCGCGACGAAGTCTTCGTCCCGAAAAAAAAGTCGCAAGTTGCGAGGCTTTCCAAGTACTTGAACAACCCGCCGGGCCGGGCCGTGACGCTCCTCGTCACGCTAACGCTCGGCTGGCCGTTGTATTTAGCCTTCAACGTCTCCGGCCGGCCTTACGACCGCTTCGCCTGCCACTACGACCCTTACGGCCCAATTTACAAAGATCGCCAACGTTTCCAAATCTTCGTCTCCGACGCTGCCGTCACGGCTACATTGTACGTCCTCTACCGCACGGCGGCGGCGAGAGGCGTGGTTTGGGTCGCTTGCATCTACGGTGCGCCGTTGATGATCGTTAACGGGTTCCTCGTGCTGATAACGTATCTTCAGCACACGCACCCGGCGCTGCCCCACTACGACTCGTCGGAGTGGGACTGGCTCCGGGGCGTGCTGGTGACGGTGGACCGGGACTACGGGATCCTGAACAAGGTGTTCCATAACATCACGGACACTCACGTGCTGCACCATATTTTCTGGTCGGTGCCTCATTACCATGCGATGGAGGCAACGAGAGCGATCAAACCGATACTAGGTGAGTATTATCAGTTCGACGGGATGCCGTTTTACAAGGCGATATGGCGGGAGGCAAAGGAGTGTCTGTACGTTGAGGCCGACGAGCCCGGCAAGGGAGTCTACTGGTACAAGAACAAGTTTTAGGGCTGTTCGGATTTCTATTATATCATAATTATTTTTAATATATTTTTTATTTTACTGTAACCTCTTGACAATAAGAGATGGTGGTGTCGGGATGAACTCGTGATTGTGAAGTCTGAATTTAAACTGATGCCTCAAGATCTTGCTTGCTACTGTTGGAATTTTTATTTGCAGATATATAATTAATGACTGCATCTTTTTAATAGTTTAAATTTTTAGGTGATACGCATCCGATATGATATCAAAGCTTAATTAGGTATCATGATATAAAAAACAAATTACTATTTGATTTGATATTTTATTATTTATCTTTCGATAATAATGCTGCTTGAAAAGGACATAAGCTATTTTTATTTATTTATCAATGCACCACTGGCTGTATATAGTTTGTTTTTTTTTTTTTTTTTGTAGGAAGAGGCATTCTTTCAACTCGGCTTATTTTCCTCTTCTTTACTTAAAACTTTTTGTTTTACTATTGAAGAAATTGAAATAAAAATAAAGCAAATCACATGATTCGATTTATTGCTTGAAGTTATTCTCAGACAATGTAAGGACTAAATACATAAATAATGCAATCTCATTTCAAATACCGATGATCAATATTTAGATTAATAACATATAATTGTTGCAATTATCTTATTGCAATAATTATGTACGGATGATAAGTAATATCAAATAATAGACTACTCTTTGGACTAATTCATTGTTTATATAAGTTAAAGGCATCTAATGATCTCGTTCATATTATCGCAGAGGTACATTTTATTATGTCAATTATCCACTGAAAAATAACCACATGAATTTATATACACATATAAAATACTTACATCATCAAGAAAAAATCTCATACTCCTCGTAGTCCCTCCGTCCACATACATAGTAAATATTTATTTTGGCACCCTATTTAAAAAATAATAGTATTTTAATTATAATAGGTAGTTAAAAATAGTGTAATACATGTTTGCCCTTACTTTTTTTTTTATGTAAAAGTAACGATGTGATGTAAAGTGAAGATATTTGTGAAAAAAAATAAAGTATTTAATAAAATGTTTAATTTGTAATTGGACGTTATGTATACTTTCTAGCAGGATAAGATAGATTATTTTGACAACTTCAAACACTTAGATTTTTATAGTAAAAACACGTCAAACATTATTGTTGAATTTTCAATATTTTTAAACCAAATTAGAATCAAAAGCATATTTAATGCATACAAGTCTGATTCCAAAAAATAAAAAATTCTTATAACCACCGAAAAACACTATATGCGAATTTAAATAAACTATAAATCTCATTACAAGCTATTGAACAATATCAATAATTGTCTTTAAATAAATTTAATTGGACCATAAAACGAACTATAACAAATAGATATACAATTCTGATCATTCATAAAATCAGCAATAAAAAATAAAGTCATGAATATAGTCCACATGATTGTAATTATTCACATCACTGACAACTTCAATCTTGTATCAATTACTAATACCGAATCCTCTCTATCAAACTGTCAATTAAATAGGCATGACTCGATCTAGATCAATTTTGAACGCAACGCACTGTCGAGAGATTTTCGATATTTAGTTTTAGATTTGTTATATTTAGAATTAGATTTGGTCATATCTATTAGATTACGCTATTTAGATTTGAGTCTATCGAGTCTGTTTTAAATTACCTATATAGGTCCCTTATTTTGATTATCAATAAAATGCAAGCTTTAAAATTTCGGCAAGATATTTTAACACACACAAACAACATCGGATATGAGAAATCATAAACTAAATCATATTCGACCACTTGATTGTAAATTAGTGCAGTCCTAATAAACAATCATATATTTCAAATTATATATATACTCATGATTCAATAAATAAAATTCTAAATAAACTGCATGCGACTAATTGAAAGATTAATTGGGCAGTTTCAATTAAACAATGGGTAAACTGTTCTTTCAGCCCCGTAATTGGACTCTCTTATCATTTTAGTCTCGTAAGTAGAGCATGTCGTAAACTAATCCCATAAGTGAAAAAATTTCGTTGTTTTAGTCCTCCGGCGCTGAAGACGCCCACGTGGCTTGACAGAGGCCACGTGTCCGCTAGGTGACCTGTCGCGCGGTCAATCAAATATTTCACCTACTCTGTGATCACAATTTAATATAATATAGGGGAATGGATCGTCTCCATAGGGATTGTGTGATTCACTCTTTTGTGTTCTAATGCAGTAAATAAAGGGAGAATTTTCTTTTATTATCTAATGAAAATAAAATAACAAAGCAATTAAATTAAGGAGAACCGACAACCAAGGGGATGTCTGGCTCAAGGAATGATGCAGTTATGACACTTGTGTTTTATCATTAATTCAATAAAATTAATTCTTATTAAAGTATCAATAAATTAGTTATAGTTATCAACAAGCTATGACAACCAATTTTTCCTTACAGTGTAGGTAATTAAGGTACGACCGTTAACTACCCCTAATTAAGCAAATAAACCTAGGTGCGCCCATAAGAATATTGCCTAACCGCATTGTAATCTAGAAAAACCTAATTCAAAACAATTACTATCTAGGATGAACAATTAGATTTGATTTTCTAACAAGAATGTCCAAAACAAAAGAACCAAAACATTATCACCCCTCAAACCAGAAAAGTATCTACTCCGTAATCAAACAACAAAGAATAAAAGAGAAAGATGAAGTCATAGTGGGAGGGGGAAATCTTCTCTGTCAATTTGCTCCTGCGTGATCTATGAATATGTCAGTCTCCTGATCATGTGCGTTTCTGCCCTAGTCGTTCTGTCCTTTTTTGAAACCTGTGATCCCTTCTTTTATTTAATGTTTGCCCTAATTATTTTGTAGATGAGTTTTTGGGCCTTTAATTAATTTCTCATATCAAGAGGGTGTAGTTAGTCATGGTCATGACTAACTGGGTTGTGCAAATCTGAATTTTTCTTCCCTTTTTCTGCCAATTATGCCAAATTTGATATTTGCTCTCAGCACACAGCAAATAAACAATTCGCATATAAATTAGGTAGAATCCAATCAAAATCACTCAAATATCGTATATGATATGAATATAAAATGCACGCGATTTCCAACTATCACTAGGTCAGCGACACTTGGCGGACACGTGGATTTTATTTTATTTTTGTAATTTTTTAAAATTTTTTTAAAAGTTTATTTTTAATTTTATTTTTCTTTTTTTAATTTTTTTATTTGGACCAACTGAAAAAAAATTAAAAAAAAAAAATCTACGTGCCCGCCAGATATCGCTGACCTGGCTGGACACCTGGCGGACACATGGCTTCCGGTGAGCCACGCGGGCCTCTCCGACGCCGGAGAACTAAAACAACGAAAATTTTTCATTTATGAAACTAGTTTGCGATACACTCTATTTACGGGAGGAACTAAAGAAAACAGTTTATTTTGAATAATTAATCAATATAATTATTTGGGATATCAGAAAATGATTCTAAGTATCCAGGCACATGTTATGTCTGATCCTACATCACACATATATAAATAAATAAATAAACAAATAAACATAATGTACATGTTTTCGAATAATTCATATAAATAAATAAATAAACAAATAAACATAATGTACATGTTTTCGAATAATTCATATATATATATGAATATATGATTGCATGCGTTAACGTGGCGAGATATCATGCAAGATTGATTTTCATATCTTATGATATCAAATCGATCAGGATTGTGCAGGTGTACACATCCATGGCAAACATAATAAAATATCTCAATAATTCATATATGGAGAGGCTTACACTATTTATTGGAATTTTCATAGGAATCAAATCTTAAGTTCACATCTGTTGCCTTGAAATAATTAAAATAAGGGTAAACTGATTTTTTTAAAGTCCCGTAACTGGATCCCCATATCATTTTAGTCCGTAAGTGGAGCTTGTCGCAAATTAGTCCCATAAGTGAAGAATTTTCGTTGTTTTAATCCTCCGGCGCCGGAGACGCCCACGTGGCTCGCCGGAGGTGACGTGTCTGCCAGGTCAGCAACACCTGGCGGACACGTGGATTTTTTTTTTTTTTTTCTAATTTTTTTTAAAAAAACTTATTTTTAAGTTATTTTTAATTTTATTTGTATTTTTTATTTTTTTATTTGGTCTAATTAAAAAAATTTTAAAAAAATGAAAAAAGATAAAATAAATTCACGTGTCCGCCGGGTGTCGCTGACCTGGCAGAATACTTGGTGGACACGTCACTTCCGGCGAGCCACGCAGGCGTCTTCGGCGCCGGAGGACTAAAACAGCAAAAATTCTTCACTTATGGGACTAGTTTATGACAGACTCCAGTTACGGGACTAAAATGATAAAGGGGTCCAGTTACGGGATTAAAAAAACAGTTTACCCTTAAAATAAAAATAAAATACTCTATTAGTGTAGTTGAATTCAAATATGCAAATTGATTGAAAATTTATATTTTCCAAACATAGGATGCAGCTTTTCTGAAAAAAATTAATGAATATTGAGTATCATATACTCCCTCCGTTCCTTAACGATCTATCCATTTTTCTATTTTGGTTCGTATCATAAAAAAGTATCTATTTTTTTTTTTTTTTTAGTAATTGTACTATCTACCTAACATTACAAATACCATTCAAATTTACAATATATTACATAAATGTCATTATACTAATTAAGTTAATTTACTCCGTGTAAAAAACAAATAAATATATAGATATGAGACAGAGAGAATATATTATATCTTATTATTAATTAGTCATATCACTTATTTCTACATATAAAATGCCTACATTTATTAAATACTCCGTTCGTCCCATTCCAAATGTTATTTTTATTGGTTAGGAAAGATATGTAAGAAGTTTTGACATTTTTGTCTTGACATTGTGTATAAAGTAATTGTATGTTGATAATTTAAGTAAAAGTTAATGGTATTTTAGTATTAGCGTAAAATTACTTTTATAAAATAAGAAATGAATAATTTGAAGTGAAAACATACGAGAATAGTAAAATTGGTACTTTGAATTGGGACATAGTAAGTATCTTTTAAACCCAATGAAATTTAACACTCCATCCGTCAATATCTATGGGATACATTTAGCTTCTCTGTCATTGTACTTAACATTAAAAACATTCTTATCTTTATCTAATTTTTATGTATAAATGTACTTCTATTAATATTATAAGACACTAATGGAAATATTTTTGCAATTTTTTCTTAATTTATATTACGTTTTGATATACTCACTTCGTCCAAATACAATAATCTTATTTACTATTTTTGTCCGTCCCAAAACAATAATCTTATTTTCATAAATAATCGTATCACTATATAAATACTCGTATTTTTTCATTATTATTACACAATTGCCACTATCTTTTACACAAAAATGTCTTTTACCTATACTTTTTATCCACTGTCAATATAATATCAATATTCCTTAAATTTTGTGCCCAACACAACAAAGACTATAGTTCTGGGACGGAGAGAGTAATAATTAATATTCAAATATCAACTAGCAAAAAGTAAATAGAATCCTACTCTACAGGACGGAGAATATTCAAATATCAACGAGAAAAAATAAATGGAATCTGACTTAATCCTGCTCTACAAAGAATTTACATTAATCAACGGTTGGATTTTTAATCTGCTGTCTTTGTAGGAATGCAGCAGCCATGGATGGATCAAGAATATCCTCAAGTTTGCAGCCCTTTTGGCCAGTGGATGATTTGTAATGAAACCTTAATCTAAGGTCCAATGTTTATGCTTCTTGTCCCTCTCTTACATTCATACAAACTTCCATGGCTACAAACAAATTAAATTAAATTTACATCTTTAAGTTACACCCAAATCTCAGAAACGATCAAATTCAACTCCTTAGCTGTCCAGGTGACCTCTGCCAAGTCTTCAAGAAATGGCCTAATCTCCTCTCCCAATTTCACCATTTCTGTTCTACATTCTGCACCCATAGATACAAATTACACATAATGTAATTAAATAGGGAAAGGGTACGGTGCTGAATTTGAAAAATTAGCTCCAAATCAGCACACGGTAAAATATAGAAATAGCATATTTTTTTATTACAAATTAAACAGCACATGTTTTATGTAATAAAGGCATGTGTTGTTTGTTCATAATTATAGTGTGTACTATACAAGAGGATATCATGTGCTAAAATTAAGTATTGTATGTGCTGCGTGAGACTGTATCATGTGATGTTAAGTCATGTGTTGTATTTGTATTATATTAATGTATATTGTATGTTGTGTATGGTAGTAAACACCGTGTATTGTCTAATTGCTTACGGTGTGCTATTCAGCACAATGCTGAATGTCAGCACTGTAACCGCGGTCAATTAAATAATTTGTTCGAAAACATTCATGCTTAAATCTGTCTGAAATTAAATTATAGACAGACCTGGAATTTTACTGAAGTTGAAGAGACACAGGGAAGCAAGGATCTTGTGTTCAACCAGTTCTCCATACTGCAAGCTTTCCTTCAATGGCGAAATCAGAGTGGAGAAGGCACGAATCTTAGCTTCCTTACCATGTAATACAGCAACCGATGAGCTAAGCCACGCCGCCGTCGTCAGACACACCCTCGCCATGTCCGAATTTCCGAAGCTCAGACACTCCGATACGCCGTCTATAAACAATCTCCTCCCATTGTCGCCGAGCAACGCTCTGGTTATACTCACTAGCCAGTTGTTCCTTTCGGTTTCTTCTTCCTCAGACATGGCGTCGTCGTTGTTGCCAGTATTGTCCGAATCCGGACAGTCGAGGAACCCCGCGACTTTTAGTATCCAATCCTCTGTCATAACCCTCCCCGATGAATGGAACCAGCCTCCGAGGATTAGTAGAGCTCGGGAGCACTTGCGCGATAGCTTTTCATCGGCTAAGCTTCTTCTCATCGCCATTGTTAGCGCCTCGACAGCTTCGTGCTCGTAAATGTCGTACGTGTCTCCCGACTACAAGTCGAAAAAAATTCAAATCCGCAACCTTTATTCATCGTTAAACAAATTGTTAAGATGTATTTAGAATATATATATACTCACTCCATCCGCCGCCTCTTAACATCACATTTACCTTTTGCGTAACATTAAAAATATTTTTATATTTGTATAATTTTCTGTACAAATATTCTTCCATTAGTATTATAAGATACTAATTGAAGTATTTTTGCAATTTTTTCTTAATTTGTACTACGTTTTGATATAATAATTAATATTCAAATATCAATATGCAAAAAGTAGATAGATACCGTAGAGCCGGAGGAAAGTAATATTATATTTATGATAGTTGTCATATTTAAGAGATTCATAGTACTATGAATACGAATACGTTGGTATTCTTATGATTGAAAATAGAGAATTTCAAGTTTTTTATTCTAACCCAAATTAAAACGACTCTCACCATAATCGAAAGATTCAGAAGCAGAGCCGCGACGAGAGGAATTAATTCCGGCGAGCACGTTTGAAGATGTATAACCAAATCATCCATCGCGCTTACGAACTCCTCGTCGCGGAGTCCTTCCAAGAAACGCTTCGCTCGGACCCTCCTGAAGTTTCGAAATCAAAATTTTGTATAATTGAGCATTTAAGCCGAGGGGTGTCAAGAAATGTACCTATTCGAGCAAATGAGTTCGATCATCAATAGAATTGCATTAGTCCGCAACGTCGAGTCCTCTCCGTGAAGTAATTCGAACAAATTCGTCGCGCTTATGCTGCGAGCGATGTCGATCCTACAGCCTTCATTAGCTTCGATACATGAAGACAACAATGGTAGGATGCATCTCTTCTCCTTAATGCTTCCATGGTTAAATCTTCTCGAGAGAAATTCGACGCCGCCGAAGGAGATAATCTGTCGTGCATTCGATATCTTCCGATCTTCGCTGAAAACGGCGAGAAATTGCTCGAGGATCGCGACGATCATCGTATCTTCGCCAATTTTCTCGTTACGATCGTTTGTTATCCGAGCTAGTATAGCCAAGAGATGCTCGAAATGATCGTCCTGCCATTTTTCGATAACGTGCTTCAAAATTAGATTCGTCGGCGGCGCAACCCGGCACTGCAATGGCTTTCGGGTCACCGGACAGGTTAAGAACCCTTTGTCGAACCAGTTGACTATCGCCGCGCGCTCGAACGTCTGCCCTGTCTCGAGAGTCACCGGATTATCAAAAAGAAGTTCGGTTAAAGGACACAGAAAATCCTTCGGGATGCCGGCGAGGGAGGCCTGGCTGTCGAATTCTTTGACGTTTCGATTAAGATTCACGGCTACATTATCCTGCAACGTAAAATTTTCGAGAGCTTAGTACTCGATAATTCGACAATGTACGAACATCTTTCGATTATACTCGAACACTCACAGTCGAAGATTCGTCGGCGATTAATATCAGCTGTTTGTCGATCGGTGCCGGACTATCCAAGCTTCTAACACTCGACGCAGATGTCTCTTCTCCGCGCGGAGCCTCCGATTTATGCGAATGTTTGAAAACCTCGGCGTAAAGCTTTTTGCTGACTATCGGCTTCGGCGAGACACGACTCGCCGGACTAGCTCGATACCCATGCTCGCGCACGCCTTCGATTGGCGTCGATTGGATCGAAAAAGATGGGATTTTTACAAGGGGCGCCGAAGGCGCCGCCTCGACTCCGTTTGTAATCCAATCTTTATAGTACGTCGCGAACTTGTGAGTTCCCGAGTCGAGGCTCTCATTATACACTTTCTGAAGAAGTTCTACGTCTGCGAAGATCGGTGACTTGGTTATCGAACGAGTTTCTTCGTCGTGCCACCGCTGCACGTGCGAAAGATTGGGGAGAAACAGTCGATCCCACAGCTCCGGAAGCAGCGATGTTCGCGCGTGGAACGGTGAATCGCAGAAAACTTGGAGAAGATTTTTCGCCGCGGCCGAGTCTTTTTTTTGCAACGCGTAGATTACGCTTAAGTAGAGTCGAGCGCAGGCCGCAAGCTTCTTGTAGTTTCGAATCCTCGACGGAGATTCGCGATTCGCGTCGTCGTTGGAGCTTAAGCCCGTGATGAGGCTGAGCTGCAACGACGCTTTTTTCAATTCTTTTTTCGACGACGATGTATTATTCTCTGTTGCTGCGGCTGCGCTTTCTACTTCTTCAATCGCTTCTTGGAGAGTCTCGACCACTTTGTTTTCGGGCTTGATTAGTCCGACGAACGTTAGCGACGCGAAGCTGTTGTGTCGTAGGGACGCCCTGAATTCCTCGTCATCGATAAAGCGTTTGATTTGTTCGATCAAAATCGACGTAAGAGCTTTCGCAGCGACGTCGTATAGCGCCGGGGGTTCGATTATTTGCGCGGCTTGTTTTACGACTCCCGGCATTTTACTGAAACTATTGGCTTGTTTCATGGTTTTATCGACTTTTCGACTATATACTTTGTTGAAGTATGCATTTTTATGCGGCTTCGGATACGATCCAATTTCAACAATTTCTTTACTAGATGATCCGGCGGTAAACTTGCCGTGATCATCGCCGATTTTTCGATCGTCGATCGAAAATTCGGCGTTGGAATCGTGGTGAGGTATGTGAGATCTCGACCTCCCCGGCGGCGGCGCGGCGGCGTGCCTGGCGGCGCCGCCTCCTTCCAATGCGACGGAGATACGTGGCCTGATTTTGGATATTGATCTCCTCCTGAAGCCTTCTTCGGACAGAAGATCCTCCAATGACATTGCCATTGCCATTTTAATCCAAATTCAAGAAGATGAAGCACCAAGAAATTTAAGAACAGTTTCTTGTTCAGCAAGTTAGAGAAATGGAGAGAATTTCAGTGTCTGTTTTTTTTAAAGGAAGAAGACAAGGTTGAATGGAGCAAAGGAGGAATTTAAATCCCTAATATTTTATCGATCATATATCCAATCCTATCCTGCGATGTCTGAATTGGACAGGACAAGTGACAAATGTAAGAGGCTGAGAGAGTAATCTTTTTTCTTCATAATAAAATTCCATCTGTGTTGCTGGCTGGCCGTGCAGTGTCGCCATTATTAACTTATTCAAAGCTGCCGCCCGCCGTCGCTTTCTCCGCAACAGATTCTTTTTTTACTTTTTATTAAGTCTCACAAAAGATGATTATGTGACTTTATTAATTTTAAATATATTTAATAAATATAAATCAATTTAATTAAATTTTTAACATCGTATTCGTAGGACTCACTCAAAAAAATTTTATTTTTATTTCTCCTTAATTAAATAATTTTTTATCTATATTTAAAACTCTCATTTTTTATAAAATTAATTTATGATAAAGATAAATAAAAAAATATTTGTATTATATAATCTTAAAAAAATTTAAAATATCAATAATCTTTATTCATATAACAAATAATAAACTAATATCATAACTTATTATTAATAATTTATTCCTAAAAAACCGTGTCGTGATAAAAAGGTCAAAGGAGTATATTCTTACAAAGGTCAAAATTGCAGTAAGGTTTTCTTAATGGGCCAAAAAATTTAAACTGGATTGGTCTTCAATTATTGTTCTTAATGGGCCCATAAGTGAGAAAATGAATAATTATTGTTGTTGTTAATGGGCCATGCTATAATAGGTGAAATAAATTACTCCCTCCGTCCCTGATTCTGGTACAATGTAGACACGATATTTGAGAAGTGTAATTAGTAGATAATTAATAATGTATTAGTGAAAATAATTATCCTATAATATAAATAATCATAAATTAAGACTAAGATAACTAATGAGTTTAATTAAAATTTTAAAAAAATAAAATTTAAAAATTTAAAATGAAATTAAAATGTGTAATTATTTTTCAAAAAAAAGAAAGTGACATGGTATATGGGACGGACAGAAACAGTAACGTGGGCATGGTATCTGGGACGGAAGGAATATTATTATTATTATTATATTTATTTATTGAAAAGTTCATTTAAGTTGGGTGGTTGGGCGATACGAAAGAGGGTTGGCAAAATTATGGGGATTACTTCATAAAGAAAAGCATACAAACAAAAATGAGTTGTTCACTGACACTTAACTAAAATTGGTGATGCTAATTAAATGGGCGTCCAATTTGGAAATACAAATTATATTCAAGAGTTCTAATTAGTAGGTGGGCAAATATGGATTGAAATCGTGATTGTACTCATATCATACTTTATTAGAAAATATTAATATATTTTTATTTTAAAAAATAAAAATTAAATGTTGAAAAAAGTGGGGGAAAAGTAAATCCACCCTAATTTTCTTTATTTTTTTTTAAACTTTTTTTTTTTTTTTTTTTTTTTTTTAAGTTTATGTATGTGTAGATTATATAATTTAGAAATTTGAATTCATAAGCTCGTAGTTCATTCTTCGCTATTCTTGATCAATGTACAAAGTGTAATTTAGATTATTTTGAAAATATTTAGAAATTTTAGAAAATTTTTAAAATAAAAAAATAAGTAAATTTAAGATATTTAAATGGATGTGTTTACTTGTAAAGTTTTGATTTTGATTCGATGTATAAATAAATTTTAATATAAATTTGAAATAAAATAACTAATACTGTTATATAATAATAATATATAATATAATATTAGTAAGTATATATATATATCAAATATTATAAAGCAATGTGTGTATATATATATAATATAATAATATATGCAAATGTTGTAAAGCAAAGGTGATAGAATTGAATGCGAAATTGTGTATTTATTAAATATTACATCGTCGTATTTATAGGCAGAAAACTTTCGATATGAAAGAAAAGCAGACATATGCTACATAGTTACACGAAGTAACTACGTATGTATTTCGTAACAAATACTTCATTAATTTATTATTAAACTTTTTATTTGTTATTTTAGTATATTTAAATCAATTTTTTTTTTTATTTTTTAAAAAATAACTCTCAATTAAATACCCCTCTTTCCCAAAAGTACAGTTTTATTGGGTTGGGCAAGAGATTTAATGAATATTGATATTATATAGGTAGCTGGTAAAGAAAAGGTAGGAATAATTTTATTGAGATATGATTATTTATGAAAATGAGATTATTATTTTGGGACTTGACAAAAAAAAGGTAAACAAGATTATATTGGGACAGAGGGAGTATTAAAATACTTCAATTTTTTTTATTTTACATTACTTTTCAATGATAAATTAGATATTATATTATTTTATTACACTATATATTTATAAAATACTAATTTATTTTATTAAAAAAATTTTAAAAAAAAAATTACTGATGGACAAATAAGTATTTTTTTTTTTAAATAATGTCGAAACAAATTTGAAGACACATGGCATACAAAGTGCAAGGTTCCTAACTAGTTTTTGAGGTAGAAAACAGTTAGGAATATGGACCGAATACGACGTCGTATCAATTGGGTAAGGAGAATCCCACTATTGGCTATCATACGACGTCGTGTCGTCGGGTGGCAGCCGACGTAATTATTTACGAATCTGAGGGTATTTTTTTAACCCGGAAACCCATATCCCCATCCCCACGCCACTTGCTTAACACGCGTTCTCAATCTCAGCGGTCCACATGTTTATCAACAGAGCTGGACCGTTGATCTTTGTTCCTCCCATCTATATATGTATGTGGGAAACGCATTCAACAGGCGGATTCAGTGAAGGATAAAGATCAGAAACGATAGGAAGGTTCGAGATTTGTGAAAGGGAATCTGTTTGAGTAACGAGATCGGGAAAGTTTAATAAATATTTCTTGTGTTTTCCGTTTGTTGTTGCCCTGGAATTTGCAATTTACGGCGCTGGAATCTCACGAAAACCTTTGTTTTCTGTTTCGTGCCTTGTTCGAGGTTTTTTGCGTTTAATTTTTATATTTTGGGGGTTCGGAATTTGAATTCCCAACGCTCGTGCAGGTTTGAACCTAGCGGAAGTTAAACCCTCGAATTTCTTTACTTTTTCGAGGTTTTCATAGCTTGCGCGGTTTTTTGTCTTTTAATTTTTAGTCTTACTATTGCTATTTGATCAATTGAACGAGCGATCAGTGATGTTGAGTCAACAACAGAAGCAGCTGATGGTGAACTTGAATCACAATATGGTTATGAATCAGATGGCTTTGCAGTCACAGCAGCAGGTAATCAGTTTTAACCGTATTGAATCTCATAATTTTTTTCCTTTTGTTGCCGAATCGAATTATCTGATCAACTACCGGCGGCAGATGATGGTGCCGGCGAATCGAGGATACAGTCCGTGGGCGGCGGCGGCGGCGCCGCCGCCTCAATTTCAGAAGGCTAACTCAAACCCTGGTGCGATGAAACCGCCGTTACCTGCTTTTAAAAAGTCGTTAGGACCGAGGAGTGACTGGAAGGGGAAGAACGTGAAGAAGGCGAACGATAAGAGGAGAAATGAGGTCCAGAAATCCTTAATTTCTGGAGATCTTAACTTAGTCCGCGGTGGCTGCAGTGGGGGTTTAGGTAATTTTAATAGTTATCAGCCTCCAAATCTGACTGACTTGCATCATCAGAATCGAGTGAAGTCTAGAAAGTTCTTTCCAAAGAAGAAATTTAATAAGAACAACAATATGAATATGATGAACGTTGAAGCCAACCAGAACAGTTATAATAATAGCATGTCTGCTCCATTAGCTCCTAGGAACACAACGTCGTTTATAATTAGGGCAAAAAGGAGTGGTGGTATCGCATCATTGGTTTCTCCTTCTCCTATGACGCCTGCTGTTTTACCCACACCTATTCTTTCTCCATCCAGGGAAGTCTTGGTGGACATGGCAAAAGAAGAGTGGGGTGTTGATGGATATGGTTCTATGAAAGGGTTGATTAGATTGAGGTCTCCAGGGCATGAGGATGATGCCGAAGATGACGGGGGTTCGAGTGAGAGTGATGTGGAAGAGCACGTCGAGGTGGAGAGGAGGTTGGACCATGATTTGAGCAGGTTTGAGATGATTTATAATCCTAACGAGGGTGTGGTAGATTATCATAATGTGCTCGAGAATCGGGTGGATGATCAGGATTCTCATATTGCTCAATTAGAGGATGAGAATCTGTTGTTAAAGGGAAGATTGTTCTTGATGGAGAGGGATTTGGATGAATTGAGGAGGAGGATCCAGTTTCTAGAAAGGAGAAGAAACGAAGAGGATATGAACGAGGAAGTCGTAGATAACGACTACGAAAATGGAAGTGAAAATCGTGGTGAGGAAACTCATTCAGTCGAGGACAATAACGAAGACTTCTGTGAAGATAGCATTACTCGTGACGACGGATCTTGCAAACAGAAAAGGGTTAGTGATAAGGAATTTGGGTATGGTTCTGGAACGAATGAAATTGTTAGAGACACTGAAGGGATTAGTGATAACGAGAACAAATTCTTGGATGGGGTAGCGATAAAGTTGACGTGAGAAACTGAAGTTACAAATCCTAACATGTTTTTGAAAAGTAATGGGCTACCAAGAACTTGAGAGAGTATAGGAAGGAAAGACTTGATAATTGTCCCTTGTGAATGAAGCATGTGCCTGAATGCTTGTTTGTTTCTTTACTGTAGCTAGTGTTCGATCTTGATCGTGTAGATATCTGACTTGCTTAATAATCTCGAAAGAATAGGTTCTGTTGCACAAACTTTTACGGTTATCGTCATGTCTTCACATGTTTCTTTTTTCTTATGGTCAGGATTGTACAGGTGCAGGTTGCATCATATCGACTACTACTTCAGGGTTCGGTCAGTTGTTAATGAGATTTTCTATATGTAGTGTTCTTTATTGTTTGTAATGGAACCATGACTTACTTAATGAGACTTGTCTTGATAGCCATGCTTAATCGTCTTTGTGTGCTTTTATATTCTTCTTTTTTTGTTTGCTTAATTTTTTATTTAGTGTAGCGAAGAAATCTGGAGGGTCTTTCTTGCCAGATCAAGATTTGGTTTGAAATGAAGTTGATCTGCAGTTAGTTCATTAAAACCATTCTGTATGAACTCTTATGGCATAACTTTTAACCATTTTTGTAGTGGGAAGCTGAAAATCACAGCCATTTTATTGTTCTGTATTACATTTCTGATTAGATCCAAGTCTCCTACTCCTGCATTCATGAGATGGGAAAGCCCAACATTAGTCGTTTACTTGATTCGATATGTGCTTCTTTCTACAGCCGGTTTGTTGCAGAAGCTGCGTCGTCCGATATACTCTGATGATGTGAATATGAGGTACGAATTGATGATACATCTATGGGCAGGGGCAGGGGCAGGGGCAGTCGATCATCTTTGAATTTATGGGGAAGTTTGTTCAGTTCAAGAATTGGGTTATTTGCAGCAGCTTCTAGAGTGAATGGTTTTTGGTCTTTTTTATTTTCTTACATACCATAATTATAATGTGGGGATGACGATGCTGATTGATATTAAAAAATCAGTACCAACACAACAACAAATTCTGTGAATTGACAACTTGTCATCAATTTAGAGAGATTGTATTAATACAATGGAAGATATTTCTTTCGTAGGTCGTTTGCTTTCACCATTTTGGGAAATTCAAACATTGTTCAAACAGCACAAGATGATCAAATTTATCAAAACTTACAGTCCCTTGCAAGATATATAACCTCTTTTTCTTCACCAATAAAGTTTAAAGTTTGTCTTATCTTAACATCAAACAATTAAATATAAGTAAGTAATCTAAGTAAAATTTAGAAAAGAGGAAGGGATGGATGGAGTAATAATTAAGTGTATTTAAAAATCAATGTCTAATTATATACAATTTCTACAATAAATCTCCTACTTAATTAAGGAATAAAATTAAAAACGACTTTTGAATTGATTATTACATCTTACTTTTTTATTCAAAACGTAGCATAAACACAATACCATTTACTCCAATTAACCATCACTCTTAACACATAATCATTACAAGCCCAGCCAAACCAACAAAAACATCATCTCTAACATTTTCAATTTCAATCCAAAATTTCAACTCAACCCAACCACAATTGCCAAGGATAATAAACCCTCGCAACAACCTCTGGAGATTTTGGATCGCATCCAGAGGCAGTCATGCATACCTGTTTGATACATCACTTACAATTACCGTGCAACGGTGAATATTATACATTGCTTCTCTTCCACTGATTGCAATCCTTCTGCTGTCCAATTGTCAAGGAAATGATCAGAGTCCCATATAGTTTCAAAACACATTCAAATCCCTTCTGCCACTATTTATTCTATAACCCTTCAAAAATACCAAATCTAAAACCTATTTAGTATCCATTTAATATCTCAGGTCTTTAATTTCAATAATAAAGTTCTAATAAAACATTCCCGAAGCATTACCACACACAAAGACTTACTTCCACTTGGTGTTCTATTCCTAGTCAAATTTGAATATTATAGAAAATACCAATAGAAAAGAAAAGAATTATCTAGCCTTATGCAATCGATTGGATTAGATAAATATCCTTTCAACACAACAACATAGGTCATCGAAAGGATCTCGGAGACCCAACAAATTACAAAAGCCAGGATCTTTCGGAAAATAGATTCTTATTCAAAGAGTGCATAATAACACTGTAAGCACTAAACAAACACATACATGCTCCAAAAATGCACAAATAAAAGAGAACCAGAATTCAGATAAAGATGTACGTACTTGTGCAAGGTGCATTGACAGCGGCAGCAAGAGAGAGAAGAACACAGACATAGAAGATTGATTTCCAACAAAGGTCTGGTGCAAGCTGAGCAGAATTGTTTCCTCCGATCATATAAACTTTACGGTGTGACCATTCGGGACAAGATACCATAATCAAAATGTATAGGAAGAAGCTTCTTCCCAAAGAAATGGTTGAGATCGTCCGCATCACATTGATCTGAGAGATAAAATTAACTCGCGAAAACCAAATCAAGTAAGAGAGCCTTCTTGACATGAACGAACTGGGAATGCAACATAACATGGACATGGTTGGTGTGTATGTTCAATCAGCAAATCCACTATAAAGTAAAAAGGAAGCACGAAGACATAAAAAGAATGATTCTATACACTGGATATTTCTAAACATGAAGATTTAAGAATAGTTGTATACCCTGAATTTGTAGAACCAAAGATGCTCAGGAGATTGGCACCACTAACCATGAAGATTTAGGCAATTTAGTGTTGGATAAGGCCATCAAGTCAATGTAATTGGCTAAGTTCCATATCAGCACACAACACAAAAGAGTGTTGAGTTCGTTAGGCCTGCCTGCACTCACACGCATAAAAATAATGAAGCAATACAGATTAGAATACTAAATGGCTGATTTTGATAGCAACTGAGGGATGGAAAAATGGTTAGGAAACCTTCAGTAGCCGAGCTTTCTTTTCTTCTGGGCCTTTCCAACAGCGAAAGAACTCTGCGCATATCGTGAATGCGCAAGTTCACGAGGAATTGCAGCACCGGATGACTGCAACATTGCAATCAATTCAGGAAAGAGTTTCTTATTCTCCTCATTCACAAACACGAATGCTGTGCCATTTTCTCCCATTCTAGAGGCCCTCCCGATTTGGTGCACATACTCCTTCATGGAATTTGGGAGATCGAACACAATGACCTGCCTTACAGAGAGGAGATCAATGCCTCTACCCAACACGCCGGTGGCTACAATCACACTAACGTCTCCAACCAAAAATGACCTCAACACTTCTCTTCTCTCCTTCATTGATTTCTCTCCATGAATTGAGAGAGCTTTTATCCCAGTTGCCACTGTTATTGCTTCCGAAAGAAGATCAGTGCCGATTCTTGAACCCACAAACACCACAACTGGAGGCTTAAAATGCTGCTTGCTAGTCAATATGTCGAAAAGCTTTTGCTTCTTTTTGTTCGATTCCACCCATATTGGCAACTGTTTAACAGCCTCACTTGGCTTATTCGGCTTCCCAACTGATATAACAGAAACATTTTTGACCATCAATCCTGCAACCTTCTCCACTTCTTTTGAAACTGTTGCAGAGTACATCAAAACTTGTGGCTGGGATAATGCCTTAAATATCTGCATCACCTGCTCATGAAATCCTCTTTGAATCATGCAATCCACCTCATCGATGACCAGAATCGATACACTATCCAACTCAAAATCGTGCTTGGTTAGAAGATCAATCAGTCTTCCAGGCGTTCCAACAAGCATAGACACTCCCTGCTCTATTCGGTACACCTGTGTTGCCATGGCATCACCACCAACAACTAAAGCAGTCTTAAACGGCAATCCTTTACCAAGCAACTTAGCTTCTTCCTCAATCTGTATACTAAGCTCTCTAGTTGGTGTGAGGACAATTGCCTGTGGCCTCTGTGGGGTGTTCTTAGTAGTCGCACAATGAGAAATTACAGGCACCAAGAAGGAACATGATTTTCCAGATCCTGTCTCCGCCGAAACAAGCAAGTTCTGCCCAATCATTGCAGACGGAATTGCTTGCATTTGAACAGGAGTCGGAATCTCATATCCTCCAGCTTCTAGGTTTTGAATGAGCTTCTCAGGGAGATCGCAAGAGTTAAACGACAAAATTGGATCTGGGACATTATCTCCTCGCACAGATATGTCGAGTTTTTTTCTGAGCAAGTTAGTCTTGCTGTTGGTTAGGGTTTGAGGCTTCGATTCGTTACTGCCGTCGCGAACGTAATAGCAGACATCCGTCGCCGGTACTCTTACAGAGGAGGTTTGAGGAACCGAAAGGCGCGTCTCCAGTCGCCGGCTAAGAAGAATACGCTTACACTCGAGGCTGCAAATATCGTCGTCCGTCTCGTCGCATATATATTCACCATAGCGACCGCATACAGTGCACCGAGGCTCTCCAGGTAATGCTTCTCGTTGATTCCAGCTTCTTTCTTTCACAGAATCCTCCAACGCCATGGCTCTACTGATCAGAGCGAGAAATCCTCTCTGGGACGCCGGAATGAAGATTACTGTAGAGGTGTATTTGAACCGAAGCTTCGAATAACCGAATAAATTAGGATTACTTGCAAATCACTCGAATCAAACCGAAACTCTGCAAATACCTTCAACAAATAACACCGTAGATGAATTAAACGAAACAGTAGAAGGAGGCCTTCACGACGACATTGACGATGAAGGCGCCCAGTCCTGTCGAGAAGGATGACGATACCGACCGGCGAAGAAAAGGACTGCGGAAAAGAAGAGACAACGGTGGCCGGTGAATCATTTATACCTGCCAGGGCCAAAATAGAGCTGTCCGGGCCGGGCCGTAGATGAGAATTGGGACTTTGTGTTGGCATAATGGGCCGGGCCGTACAAAAGTCGACTGGGCCGTATCGATATTAACAGCACATGGTGAATGGGCCAGACAGGGCAACAGTTGATTGGGCCTAACAGGCTTATGGGCTTTCGTTTGGGCTGACCTGCTAAGTTTCTTAGCCCAATATCTAACCTGCCCAACCAACATAATTGTCAAAGCAGCCAGATCATACCACTCCCAGAAAGCCCAATGAATTGGACCAGGCCAGCCCAAAAAATCCATGGCCCAATTTAATGAGCCTAGCCCATTCATTAACTCCTGGAGGCCCTGTATTACACAGCCCAACTGGACAGAACAGTCCATATATTGCGGCCCAGCCCAATTTTCAAGCCTAGTGAATACCCATAGCAGCCCGGTCGAGCACAGCCCAGCTCAACTCGGCCGGCTCGCTAAAAAACCCAAGAGGCTCTAACAAGACCTCGAACCAGCACCTCTGTGAGAAAAAGCGATCTGCCCTTCGATCTATCAATAGGTAGTGCAGGGGGCGGTCTCATTTCGGTCGAGCCCCTAAACTCCCTCTCGCGCATTTTCATTTAAAAAAATAGTCCATTCCGGACTATTCAATCTTTAGTAAGTAAGGCATGTGGGCTTCCCACTTATAGCAGGTATGCAACCAACCCTGCCTCCGCCTCTTGTCCGTTTTTGCCCTATATGTTATATATGAGATTGAAAAAGTACTTCCCGGATGATTGATGGAAGAAAGACCAAACATATCCCAAACAAGTGTTACCACTGAGCCTGTCTATTCTGGAACCGGTCCAGCCCAATAAAGACCAAGCCATTTCAATAGACCCTGACCACTCTTCCAATATCGGCCGGCCCCAATTCAGACCGGCCCAGCCCACGCCAGAACAAGCTCCTCCCAATGCAGCCGGTCCGGCCAATAGCCAGTCCACTCTGCTATCTAAGATTTATTTAGGTTAATTTATTCTCATTATATACTACTATTAAATTTATCAATTTTTAATAAATGCAGAATGACAATTTTCGGCGCTGTACATATAATACTGTAAATTAAGAGCTTGAAATATTTGATTATATCTAAACTAAACAAAACAAAACATAATTCAGTCGACACGGACATGGACGAAGAGAATGTTGTCGTAGGAACGGCTGATTCTGATCTTTTCATCAGCGTATCTGCAGCAGTAGCACCATATGCATCTATCTATATCATACATCTCTAAAAATTAAAAAAAATTAAAAAAAAAAAAAACAAACAATAATTCCATATTTAAAACAAAAACCAAAATTCTTACAGCAATTCAATGGTGAACTTGGTTGTCATTTCTGATGGAACCCCGTACGGACCAGCCACTATAGCTGCATCATCCATCACTACATCATACGTGTTCATCCCACTTTTCCTTCAAATTTCACACATATGCACTATTCAATGAATGTCCCCAACAATTACAAGAAAAACCACAAAGAATCAGCATTTAAACAACATTCCTTACTCGTATTTCCCCGTCATGGAAAATTTCAGGCCAAAGAATAAATCCACCAGAAATTTCATGCCCCCATTTGGCCGGACAATCTACATCAACGATGATACAGAGGTTGACAATAAATGGTTAGTTAAATGACCAACTCATCTAAAATCTTAAATTTAAAGGATAAACATTATTAATTATTAGGAAATATTATCCATAACTTTCGTTTAGTTTCGCCGCGTAAATCCCTTATATCTTAAAAATTAAGATGACACTCTTATATTTTAAAAAATATTGCATGAAGCTCTTTTTATATTTTTTTGAAAAGATGGTTTATCATCTATAATTTTTGTATAGTAGGGAGCTTCTTGCACTATTTTTAAAGTACAAACCGGATTTAAATTAAATTTCAATATCACAAGTGAGTTATAGTCAATTTCACGTAATTATTATATAGTCAATCAATACGTCCCCTCACGTGTAAAGTGATTTACACAATATATGAATCATGCACGTAGACGATGACAAACGAAAGGAAGTGGAATTCAAATACAGAGCGTTCTCTAATACTTACAAACTATTCATATTTTTATTTAGGTCCGCGTCTCGTAACAAAGTATCTATTTTTTTTTTTTTAAGTAATTGTACTATCTACCGAACATGACAAATACTCTTATAATTTATAATATATTACACAAATATCAATGTCAAGCTTATTTTGGTCATTTTTATTTTATTCCTACTATATTCCAATATAATACTAATATTTCTAAAACTCCGTACAAAAAGTAAACGGTACAATGGGACGGACGGAGTATATGATATTAAATGACTGTTTCATCTAAAAATTTAAATTTAAAACTGAAAGCACTTTCGAGCGATGTGAAACAAATGGAGAATAACATGCACCTGCTTTCCCATCAAACCTTTTGCAGCGTTCTCCATCCAGCTCTCGGTGACTTCCTGCAACGAAGATCCGCAGCAAATTTAAAACACCGAGAGTGTGATTTGGGCGACAAGATAATGAAAATGGAAATCATAATGTTCTTATGCTGCTAGAAGATCACATTTGAGCTCCATAGCATTAACCACTCCCCTTCAAGCAATGGTAATTCTCCTTCGCTACTAATTCGATTCAAGGAAATGAACTCATCCACAGCCTGTCAGAATGTGTTCTAAGTTAATCGCCATCAAACCACAACAAAGATTAAATCGAGTGGGGACATAAAAATAGGCCAGACCTCTCTAACTCCACTGCTAGAGATAGTCGAAAGCAGTCTTTGTCTTGGATCAGTCACCTTTTGCAGCACAAATGTCGTTCCCTGTACTACAGCATTGTAACCGAAGGTCCTCAATTTTTAGCAGACGAATAATTGGGAAATTTTCCGAAGCTAAAATATAATGCCATGAATTGTATAGATGGTGTGGTTAGGTTCACCTTGTTGCCGCGCGAAATACGAATGTTTCCTGACTCGGATAGATATGTAGTGTCTAACCAGCCCTTAGCTTCATCCCCAAGAAGTCTGAAAGGCACAGGATAAGGGACTTTGAATGGAAGAAAGTTTAAGGAAAAGGCTGCCCTGTCGAACTGGAAGAGGATCCTTTTCCCGCCTTTGATCGATGCTGCAGCCTTCATAGCGAAAGAAATTATAATGCAAATCTATTGGAACAGCAAGTAATTGGCAAAGCAGAAAGTATCTTGTTCAATGGATCTGTTGCAGGAGTTTCTGGAAGGATGGAACATGAATCATCATACCTCGACTTTCAACTCACCTATGGCGTCAGAGAATTTCACAATATTGGAGACGCGGGGATCTTCGCTTCGAAGACTTACTTCCTGGAATACACTGAAGGAATCCACGCCAACGAATGTTCTCTGCATCAGAACACAAGGATTTTCGCCATTAGAGGATTCAATTTTGTGTGGAATGGTTAATGAGCTGTGAAATCGAACCTGAATTGGGGAAGCTGTTCCTGGCCTTGTTGTGAACATCAACTGCCAGCGGCCTTCAATCAAGCTCGATCCTGTCTGTTGATTTCAGCCATTAAACCATTTCTCGAAACGTTTACAAGCATTTTTCATGGCAATATCACAGTTTCGAGCAGAAGGATGTAAAATTACTTACAGGATCAGGTACGCCCTTCGTATCTTCCAGTTTCTGCACCGCCTGTTCAGCTTCCTGCAGAATGTGAAGAATCTCTCAAGCAATACAGTAAGGAAACACGAATAAACCCTAACACCGGAGCTATTAACTCGATCGAGCTATTGTAGGGAAGAACGAACAAAAATTATTGATATATTAGTATACTCGGAGTTGCGCCGGAGAGGCGGAGCGGCCGCGGCCTTGAACGCCGATCAGAGCATTGATCAGCGTATTTTCCTCCTCCGTAAACGGCGGCGGTCTAGAAACTTCTTCCTCTACTCGTTCGCCGAGAAGCGAACACTTCACCGTCTTCACGGTTAGCCGACGGTTTGCACGAACGAAGGTTCTCGAAACTCCAGCCGTCCGTCGGATTTTCGCCGGACACGGCGACCGGAATTGAAAACCTGGACTAACGGCTTCCAGAGTCGCCATTTTCGCAGGCAGCGGCAGAGAAAACACACCGAGGGGATATTGATCTCTCCGATTCTATATGAACGGTTGTGGAACGAACAAGTGGCAAATGATTCTGAAGATTTTCGGCTGTTCACATTTGTGCTTATAAATTATAATATCTCATGCATTTCATTGCACACCACAAGAAAAAAGGAAAGGAAAAAGTTCATCCCCACAATTCAGGAAAATCAGTGAAAAGAGAAAGTTGCCATGTATAAATTACTTACAGTCTGTAAGAATAATTCATCATCACGCCATGAAAGTAAAGCCATGAACTTACGTAGAGTACAGTTTCTTTATTTTCAAGCTACAGCAATGGTGATTGAAGCTTAGCCATGGCAAGAACACCATTCTATTATCAAGAAAGGCCAATGACTTTTCCGGTGGAAGTATCGACGTCAATGTCGTAGAAGCACGGCCGAGTAGGCAATCCCGGCATCGTGCTCATCGTCCCGACTAGAGGGTAGATGAAGCCGGCCCCGATGCTCGCACGAACGTCTCTGATCGGTAGAGTGAAGCCACTGGGAGCTCCTTTTTCAGACGCATTGTGGGAGAAAGAGTATTGTGTTTTGGCCATGCAGATCGGCAGACCCGAAAATCCTTGTTTCGTATACATCTCAATCTGTTTCTCGGCCTGATCGATTGAATAAACAGACAGGTGTATCGATCAAAACATGAAGACGGCAAAGATTGATCAAGAGAACCACCCTATACCTGATCTGAATACTCGACGCCAGCGGCGCCGTACGACTTGGCTATGGCGAAGATCTTCTCCTTGATGGTTATATCGAGAGGATACAAGAATTTCAGAGGTTGGGTAACACTCTCAGAGGCCTTTTGAACTGCAACCCCAAGGTCGACCTGAAAATTCAAAAGAAATCGTATGAATCCCTCAAATCCAGTGGCAGTGAAAAAGAAAGGAAATTCGATGAAAGAAACTAACGGCTCCTTTCCCTCCATGGGCATGGTGACTACAAATGACTGCATCGAAAGCCCCTGCAGATAAAGCTGCACTTTTGACTGCATTCAGTTCAGCTTCAGTATCAGTCGCAAACTTGTTGATAGCCACGACAACATTTACGCCGTAAGCCTTTGTGTTCGACACGTGTCGAGCTAGATTGATGCAGCCAGCCTCAACAAGAGAGACATTCTCAGTCACATAAGCGCGATCGAGGGGCTTCCCGGCCACAACCTCAGGCCCTCCACCGTGCATTTTTAGGGCCCTAATCGTCGCCACTATGACAGCACAATGAGGGTTTAGACCACTATATCTGCACTTAATATTCATAAACTTTTCGGTCCCAATATCAGCGCCAAATCCTGCTTCTGTGACGACGAACCCACCCGGTCCCACGAGCTTCAGGGCGATTTTATCTGCAACAATAGATGAGTTTCCATGGGCAATGTTTGCAAAAGGACCGGCATGAACAAGAACAGGGGTGCCCTCAAGTGTCTGCATCAGAGTCGGGTTTATGGCATCTTTCATCAACACAGTCAAAGCGCCACCGACTCCGAGATCATCAGCAGTTATAGGATCGCCGGCTTTGCTGTTTCCAATCACCATTTTTCCGAGTCTCTCCCTCATATCGGAAAGCGAAGTGGTGAGAGCCAATACTGCCATAATTTCACTGGCGACGGATATATCAAATCCTGTTTCTCTTATCATGCCTTTCTCATCGGGACCCTGCCCGACTGTAATTTTCCTCAAGAATCGGTCATTTACATCCATCACTCGCCTCCATGTGATGGACTCAGGATCGATATCAAGCCTTGCAAACTTCTTTACTTCTTCTGGCGTAAGCTCTTCCGGCGTGGACTTTGAGATGCCAAGTTTCTTCAAGCGCCTGAACATTATGTTGCTGAAGCTCCTTTTACCTTCTTTGTTTGGAGGGCACAACCGATTGAAAAGTGCCTTGTCAGATTGGGTCGATTCATGGAAGATCCTGGTATCGATTGCAGCAGCCAGAAGGTTGTTTGCAGCTGTAATAGCATGGATATCCCCTGTTAAGTGTAGATTGAACTCATCCATTGGAATCACTTGGCTGTATCCTCCACCTGCAGCACCCCCCTTGATCCCAAATGTCGGTCCTTGTGATGGTTGACGAAGGCATGTCACCACCTAAGAGATTTCAATACAATGAATATGAAAGGTAATGCTTTTTTCATGTTGACCAAATAAAAAGCTTAATAATGAGTGCTTATCATAACATCTTCAAGACCTTTTGATTAATCAAGAGCAACTTAACAACCACCAATCCAATTACCTTTACTACCATAAAATCTAAGATTACTCTTTCAATCAGAAGAATGGAACTGACTAAGCATTTTCTTGGAACAAATACATAAATTCTTACCAATTCTTCCTTCTAGGATAAGACTCCTCTCATAGTTTCAGTGTCAAACAATGGCATCATTCAAATCTTTTCTATGTACAAATTTTTTGTTTCACATTTCTTCAGGAACCAAACAAGAGATGATCTAAGCATACAAAGTCATAATACAAACAATAGATCAGAACACAATGAGACAAATCCAATCAAGCAATTGATACCTTTTTATCAAGAAAAGCTCCCAACGCCTGGCACAGACCAACAGTAGTTGTTGACTTACCTTCCCCAAGAGGCGTTGGAGTAATACCTCCAACAACCACATAGTAGCCATCGTCACTTCCTTGAAGCTCATCAAGCACAGATAACAAAACCTGCAATCCACAACCAAACTCGCATATTCTTCCATTTCTTTCCTAACAAATAAAATAAACACTTCCATCGAAAAACTACAAATTACAATTAACAGATTGCCCTAAATCTACAAACAACCGACTAAATCTAAAATCTCAGATTACCTTAGCCTTGTACTTCCCGTAAAGATCATAATGTCGTGGATTGAGATTGACTTCCTCGGCAATTTGAGAGATGTGAAGTGGCTCCACCGAATTGGCTATGTCAATGTCCGCCGGCACCGGCGACGCCACCTCCAACTTTCTCGTTGTCTTCCCCATCCGAATCCAAAATCAGAAACGATTTATGATCCTGAACTGCTTCGAGATCGTGACCGTGGAGGCGGAAACTTGGTTGCGATTTGTGAAGCGCAGTGCAATTCGGAAAGCGATGAAGCTCGGGCTTATCTTGTTGGTGGAACGTCAATGATTTCCGTTCCTGGAGACTGGCGCCTATGTGTATCTCCCCATGCGGAACTGTTAATATATTCCACAGCAAATCACAATCTGCCACGTCAAATAATATAAAAAAATATAATTGGTAACAATTTCGGATGAACCACGAAAAATTAAAAAACTAAAATTAATACAAGTACATCATGATTACAGTGCGTGTGGCAGTGCGGTTAGATTAGGTGTCGCGCAGTGTCCGCGAATAAGAATCTGCCACGTCACCTAAAAATATTTTGAACTGAAATGGAGATGCGGGGTATCGATCCCCGTACCTCTCGCATGCTAAGCGAGCGCTCTACCATCTGAGCTACATCCCCTACACATCTAAAACTCTCAATAGTATAAATATATTATAAACAATGTTTTTAAATAAGATAATCTATTAAATTTTAATATTTTAAATAATAAATAGCTAATGAATTGCTGCCAACAAATTACATACACACACATACATACAAAACCTAGTAGTAGTATTCATGCAACACTGCTCGTATAAGGTTAGTCTCTAAACGAAACTACAATCCATCCCCACCGTCCATCAAATTTTCTACACAAAACCATCTTCAATCCAATCCATTCCAATCGGGCAAATTCGGTTCAGCTCAATTCGATTCAGGGCCTTACCATAGTCACCCACTCGTACCGGCCGGGGAGGGGCGAGTCGCTGACGATGTCGAAATTGTATCTAAATCAAGAAAAGAACACAAAATCAATCAGCCATTCAAATTTGTGCATAATTTCAATCACCAAATAATGTTGTAGCGTATCTACTTCTCTATAAAATGGTGTTGCTGAATTCGCTCCTCGCGCTCGAACATTTCCTCCAGCTCGGGCGGGGTTGGGACAACACCCGCATTGGATCCGGCCCTCGCCGTACCCCTGATTACGCTGCACGGCACATTTTCACGACGACGGCGGCCCCGGCCCCTGCCAAAAATGCACAAACAGAACATAACAAAATGTTGGTTTCTGAATGTTCTAATAATGGAATGGTCCCATGTGATAGAAATGAAATGTTAGCAATCAAAGATCCAATGTCTAAAGAGCCATTAATTTGCAAAATTCCAAACATGCTAAAAACATAGGAATTTTTGTACACCATATTGTTTCTACTTTACACCAACTTCAGGCCCTATCTACAAATACACTTCTAGTGGTTTTGGCACATTTCATCAATTGTAATTTTCTTTAAAAAATATTTCATTAGGGTTTGGCTTTTTGTACCCAAAATCCAAATTTATACTATTTGGATTTTGCTATTTTAAAAAAACATCCGAATCATATACTCTTTCTTTCGTTCTTAACTATCTATCCATTTTATCCATTTTTCTGACATTAAAAATACTCTTATCACTTACTATATATTACACAAATGTGATGACCAATATAGAGTATTATTTTAATATAAAACTCAACCAATACTTTTTCAAAACCCCTAAAAGGAAGGTTTTGGATTACACGCTGATTCGTTAAATTAATTTAGCATGTGCTGAATTAATACTAACTATTGATTAGAGAATGATAATTTAGTCAATTCAAACATTATTGTTAATCAATGGTGCTAAGTCAATTCAAACATTTATTGTTAATCAATTGTGCTAAGATAATTCAGTCATGTTGAATTATTTGAATGATTGTGTTCAGCATAGAATTCAATCTGAAAAAAGAAACATACTACAGCAAAAATAATCCTCAAAGAACAGAAGAGAACAAAATTTTAAGAAAATGCACAAATTGATTTTCTCCAATTCTCCATAAAACTGCTTTCCTACAAAGCCCACATAATTTAATTTTCATATGAACAGAAACTGTACAAGGAAATAGGCTGAGGGATAAACCAATAAACCATCGAACCTAAACAATTGTGGGGTTACCCTTTGCGTGTAGTTGTGCCATAAGTTATACAGAGGAAGAGAGAGAGTTAGAGAGAGATAGAGAGAGAGCACAATCTAGCTTTGAAAAAGAAAAAAGAATGGGTGGCTGTTTGAAACAGAAGCTACAGATTTCAGCAAGCCCGAAAAGCCAAAGCAGCTTTCTTTATCCTAAAAAGGGAAAATGAAAGAGACTGTTTTGAGACCTAATTTGAGAAAGAAAACAGGAAAATTTTTTTACAGATAGTTAACTGCAAAAGTGGTACAAGGAAGAAGATGAGGTCACATGATGAAGAATTCTCTATCCATTTTTTACTTTTTTTTTTTTTTTTTGGTATACATTTATATATTTTGTATTTATTAATTAATAAAAATTTTGAAGTTTTCAACAGAAGCTAGGGAAGAAGAGTACAGACCTCCTCCCGCCCTGCTTTCTTCTCTCTGTTCAAGTTATTCAGAAAAACAATATATATATATATACACATACCTCTCGCGAGCTTCGCATTCCATGGCGGTTTCCTCGAAACAAGCCTCAACGTCATCAGCTGCGGCAGGAATCGAAGCAATTTTGGCAGACTCACCATACTTGCTGGTTTCTGTATTTCGATTTTGTTTTCCCCTGCAGACGCAGGTCTGTCGAGCTTTTCGCGAATTCTGCGTCTGCGTCGGCGGAGGCGGCGGCGGGGACTTGACGAGGCGGCGAGAACGGAGCTCCAGGTAACAGGAGTCCGGCGGCGTTGAGGACGGAGGCGCGTGCAATCGCTGGAGCGCTAGGGTTTTGGCGCGTGTACGGACGCCGATGGCGGACGGTGGCGGTGACGGTGACATGAGCGCCACGTCGCCTGTGACTTTATCTTTCCTCATACATTTCCCCATCGCTGCTGCTGCTGCTGCTGCAAATGGTTCCCTCTGAGGACTGCGTTGAAATGTGTGAGGGGAACAGTGGCGTCACTGATGCTTTTTTTATCGCTATTGCACAGCAACTTCCATGTAGAGAGAGAAAGAGAGTAGAGAGAGAAAAACTCGCTCACTCACAAACACAGAGCTGAAAAGACGAGAGAGAAAGAGGAGAGAGAGAGTGTGTGTGCTGAAATTGAAAATGGTGCAGAAGTAGTGATCGCGCTTCTATCTTCGAAGATCCAGGAGCACAGCTCCAATTAGATCTGAACCGTTCGCCGAACACCATCAACGGTGTAGAAACCATCTGGCGCTCAGCTCCTGAAATTGAAAATGGTGTAGAAATAGTGATTGCGCTTATTTCTTCGAAGATGCAGGAGCATAGCTCCAATTTGATATGAACCGTTCGCCGAACACCATCAATGGTGTAGAAACCATCTGGCGCTCAGCTCCTGAAAAAGCCCGTGTTTTTTTGAGAATGGGGTGGGTGGGCTGTGGGCATCAACCAACCATCAATTACTTTAAGAAGGGGTTCACTTTTACAATTATTTTTATTTTTCGAAAAAGAAAAAGGCATAATTGCATATTCCCGGGAATTTGAATCCACGATACTTTTAATAATTAAAATTTCCTCCCCAGAAGTTTCTCAAATGACTTTCAGACACCCTGCATCAATCAAAACTTTTGTCCCATCTTCTGAAACTGAGGAGGAAATAAATTTACAAACAAGTAGATGCTAATTACATTTAGTGGTGAAAAGACAGCACTAGAGCTGATACTAACTTTTTTCCCAAACCCCAATAACAATAACATAATTAATATTATTATCATCATCATCAAGATCAATGGCATGCAAAGTCTTGAAAAAAAAGTGGGGTGGGGTTGGGTGGGGATAGTGCATAAGTGCACAATTGCAAATTCAACAACCTAGTCATTACAAAGAGCACACACAAATACCCAATATCCAGACATGGGCAAATGAAGCAGACTTGAAAAATAGACATGTGTACAACATTCATAAATCAAAATCCATCATCTCATGTCATCAAGAAGTGATCTTTTTTCTCATTCAGATGACAAAATAGGAATTGAATTGCATTTTATGTCCCTAGTTAATCCCAAGAACAGCACAGGCTAGAAGATGATTTTTTTACCATATCTGGAATAATGAAAAGGGTCGTGTGTGCAGTGTCTCAAAAGGGGTTTTGAGAACTTTCCAATGTGCATAAAAACTACTTAATAATAAATGACCACTGAAATTTTGCACAGCAGCTTTTACTATCTTATCCATCATATGTTTTGGCAGAGATTCTGGGCAGGGTTCAGAGCCTGGAAAGGGCCACGTGAAAACAGTAAAACAAAAAGATCGAATAACTGCAAATTACAGGGTGGAGTTTATTGATGAAGGTTGCAATAATATTACATTGGGCGTGGAGGTTCTACTTCTAAAAATGGTTAGTCTTAAATTTCTTGGCCATAAAAGTCTACAAATCACTAACATACTTGGTTCATCGACATGGCCAAATTGACAGCAACAGAGTAAGAAAGGATGATAGTAAGTAGTTCGACCTTAAAACGGGTAAATTGGCTTCATTCTATGCAAGGCGTCGCTTTTATCCACTCGTATCGTCCCGGGAGGGGCATGTCGTTCAAGATGTCAAAATTATACCTGCATTGAGTAAAAAACGTGTGAGAATTCGAGGATTGTAGCTGAGAAGTGACCGTATGTGTGAAAAAAAGAAAAGAATTGCGCACTTCTCGATAAAGTTGCGTTGCTGTGGCTGCTCGGCGAGGGCGAAAAATGCTTCTATTTCGTCAGCTATGGAGATGTTCCTAAGTGTATCCCTAAATCTTTGGTTTGCTAATGCAGGAGTTTTGCGCTTGGTTGAAGATCCCGGCATGGTGGCAACAGTTCCGATCGAGCTACAAGGGGTGCTCTCTCTGGTGGTCCTGTTGAGAATACAGAAGCAATCGATATATATTAACATTTTTTTACGTGCAAATATGTAGAGGACAAAATGGTAAAGAAATGGATTACAATTCACTGTTTTTATGTGGTCCACCGAATAAATATAAAAGTGTTGCAATCAACACAACTTCATTCTTAAAACAAAATTGAAGCAAATGCAAACAGACAAATTCCCCTTCAATGTCACATTAAATAGTCGGAACAAACATGAAGACAGATGGTAAAAGAGTTATGCAGTTCATGCTCTGAGGTTAGATGCATTCACATAATGAATTTTAGAAACTATTCGACAGGAAAATAAAATCATCAGATGATATTCATTTTTGGGCGTGAATATATTGTTGCCTTGTTCAGAGTAAAAGCAAGAATAATCGATAAATTAACAAAAACAATCAAATTTAAACCGAACACAACATATAAAATTCTACTGCTATTCACCACAATTTAGCTAATTCCATGAATTAGCAAAAAGATAAAGGCTAGAAAGTAGATTCCTTGCAAAAACTCCTGAACCTCAACTTCATGAATAAACAATTTCAAACACTGTAAAATCACATTCGGTAAATAAATTGCAACAATAAATAAAATACAGCCCGAACAAGGAGATTAGATGGGGTGAACCAGTAAATTCATTGCAAAATTGAAACCTATTACCATGATAGCAAGACAACAATGGCTGTAAAGAAGAGCTTTGATTCCCAGAACTAACAATTAAACCCTCAAATACTTTATCAAAAACTTACCCCATTTGCTTTAAAAAAGGGTGAAAGGTCGAATTTTATTCTTCAAATATTTTAGAATTATAACAACAAACCAAATATCTAAAAGGGAAATTTAGTGCAAACTACAAAGGCAGCCTAAAGAGATTTTTTTTTTTTTCAAATCTTTCACAATCAATCTTTAAGAAAATGCAAAAGAATTTTGCCAGGACATCACCATCTCTTTTCCTCATTTGCATTCACAGAGTCGCTATATCCAGCAAACGTAGAAATTATCATATACAGAACAGCCAGAAATTGCAAGCACGTGGGAGCAAGACAGGCGATTCTGACGAGAATTTACATGAGAAAATCTACTGGAAAATCAAGAAAAACATGCAAAAGAACAAGAATATATATATATACATATACTGATATACATACATACAATGAAATGAAACTGTATACCTTTCTCTGACATCCATCTCCAAATTATTTTCCCCAAATGAAACCTCAACTTCCGAATCCCCATCTTCAAAAACTCCGTTCCGCCCTTCGAAGACAGACCCAGTATAAGGCTTCTCTGGCAAATTTTCAATTTTAGGGTTTTCTTCATTTCCACGAGCAGCACTCTGTTCTGAAGCAGATGCATTTCGCGAGTTCCTGAAGTACTTCCCGAGCACCGGGAGTTTCTCAAGACGCCTTGACCGAAGCTCGAGGTAATCAGGCTTCGGTGACTGTGGAGAGGCGTCGGCAGAGGAGGCGGCCTGGTGCTGTTGAAGGGCTAAAATTCTGGCGCGGGTACGGACGCCGAGGGAGGACGGTGAGACATCCATGGAGGAGACGTCGCCGGAGGCTCTGAGCTTCCGAGTGCACTTACCCATGTTGGAGAGGGAAAATTCAAGCGAGGAATTTTTGGGGAAAAAAGAGCAGGGGTTGTGCAGATTAGGGTTTGTTCAATTGGGAATTTGGGAGGGAAGCCGTTTTAGCGCTCCTATTTATTGTACTCAATTATTCCTTTTTTTTGCATTTTCTTTTCCTTCTTTAATCATAAGATATGTACGGTTATATTTATATTTGTATATACAAGTTTTTTGGTTGAGTTTGTTTACAAATTTTTACTAGTTTTTTTATTCTCTTAGGCAATTTTGAAAATAAATATTTACTTTTTGGAACAATAGTTAAGGAAATAATTGTAATGAATAATTAAAAATAATATAAATATAATTTAAATATTTTTTTAGTGTAAAAATAATAATTTGATGTTAAAGTAAAAATATTTGTAAAAATACTCACTCCGTCCCTCAACAATTTATCTATTTTTTTTATTTTGGTTCTCATAATAAAGTATTCATTTCATTATTTTTTTTTTAGTAATTGTATTGTCTACCTAACATTACAAATATCCTTCCAATTTACGATATATTACACAAATGTCATCACATTTATATCATATAATACTAATAGGGTTAATTTAGTCTTTTTACCTTTATTTCTACTTTATCCCAATATAATATTAATATTTCTAAAACTCCGTAAAAAAAACAAATTGATATATAGATATGAGACCGAGGGAGTATAATTTTTCCGTCTCAGTATTTTATTGTTTTCACCTTAAAGTATCTATTTTTCTATTTTAAAAAAATAATTATACTCAAATATCAAAATACCTTTTTAATTTTTAATTAAATTACAAACGTATCATCACACATACAATTATTTTTTTTATAAAGTCAAAAAACAAAAATATAAAAAATTCTTACATATTTCCGCAAGCTAATAAAATATTATTATTTTTTTATTTAATCTACTACAAAATTTCAAAACGCTCTTTTCGATTATATTTTAAATTTTATAATTTATAATCTTCTTAATTTTAATTAAATTATTTAGTTATTTTAATTTGAATGTATAATCAATTTTCTTATGGGATTCTTCGGAGTTTTGTAACAGTGAAATGGACAAAAATAATAAAAAATTATTTTGGGTTTAGATCGATTGGAATATATTTTATCTAAATTACAATTTATTCCGGAATGAGGAAGTAATTTTTTTTTTTAAATATAAAAATTAAAAATATTTATTTTTATTTTTTTATTATAATAAAAATAATAATTGTATATTTAAAATATCATATCACCTATTTATATTACAAACTAATAATTTAAACTTCAAATTTTATTATTCAAAATTCAAAATTAGACAATCGCAATTATAAATTTAATAATCTCACTAAAATATTGTATTTATTTTATACTCCAAATAGTTATTAATTTTAATTTTCATATCCAATTAAAGTTACATAATTTTCTCAGAATAAAAATATATTGCATTTCTTTATAATATTTATTAAAATTTGTATACCTAGACAAATTTCTGATGAACACACTTATATATATATATAAAGTTGCGTACCAAAACCCATAGATCGGTAGCTTAACTGCAAAGATAATTCATAAATTCTATTAAAAAAAATAATAAAATCACCGTTAACTAATGACGAAAGAAGAGTTAAATGCATAATTTTTTAAACTATAAGAGAGTTTAATGCAATTTTTAAACAATGAAAAATTTCGTACAATTTTCATAAATCACATAGAAATTTTATGTCAATTTGCCAAAAATTATATGTGTTTGCTTCTTTTATGGGTAAATAATGGGTAAACTTATTTACTACCTTTTACTAATTTCATTCCACCTTAGTTTTCTGCCATATAGAGCATGATATAATTAGTAAATTATTAAAAAATATATTAATAAAAATAATTATTATATAATACAAATAATTTAAAATAATAAATTAATCTTTAAGATTGAAAAAATAATACACTACAAACTTTAAAATGTCATTAAAATATATAATTATTAAAAAACAAATGACAAACTATTTAAGATGAATATAAATAAAAACTATAAACAAATTATGTCAGACATAGTTGAGTGTATTTTATTGTTTGTTATTTCCCACTGAAAAATTGCATGAATGTGGTTTGTACAAAATTTTATTAAAATAATACTATTTTTATAATAAAATATTACATTCAAATATTATTCAAAATATTCAAATTAAATTTCAATTTGAATATACATGTTTGTTTTGGATTGTTCAATTAAAAATTAATTATTTCAAAATTACCCCATTTTTTTTAAAAAATATCTTATTTTATCATTATAACATTACTTAAAAAAATAAAATTATGATCTTTATACTACTTTTTAACTACTCACAAGGCCAAAAATATACACTTACTCCGTCCAAAAAATTTAGCCAATTTCCTTTGTAGCTTTACAAAAGTAAAATTAAATTTTTAGGACAGAAAGAATATTTACTTTCAAACTGAACAAAGTTAGTATTATATAATTGTTTGTTGATATATATGTCCATGAGTTTAATTTAAAAATATTTGATTTAAATTTTATATTTAAATAATAATTAATAAAATATTTATAAGAGAAAAATATATGGTTTCTTTTAAAAATGCAAAATCCACTTTCAAATTGAACCGAACTAATAATACACTCTCTTTATCCCATGTAATATGGGTTTGTTAACGTAGATACGAAAATTTAGGTAAAATATAATTAATAAATAATTAAAAGTATCTTAGTAAAAATGACTATATTGTATAGTAAAACTAATTATTTAATTAAGATTAAAAAAAGTATACAATTTAAATTTTAAAATGTGATTAAAATGTATATAAGACAAATTATGTAGAACGAACAAAAATAAAAAATATGAACAAATTATATGGGATGGATGAAGTATTTATTTTGTTAAACAATTTAAATGAATATTTTTTTATTGTGGAGTATAAAAAATTGTGTAAAAATATAAAAACAATAAATCTATATGATATATTACTAATATTTTAAAAAACATATTGTATATTTTTTGTTAAAATAACACATTATAATTTTCTCATGTTTAATCACAAGGACATTAGCTTCGAAGGAAGACTCCTTCGGCCCTTTTCTCCAAACAAAGTACTACTAAAAAAAATCTATTAGGGGAAAATAACATACTTCCCACCAAATTTATGCCTTTCTTTATTATTATTTATCCACAAAAAATATATATTTTTTATTTATAGCAATTAACATTTACTATTCAATATTATACTTATTTACAAAAATATCCCAACTACCTACACACTCAATTTATCGAGATTTTTTTACTTTATTAACTATACTTTTTAAAATATCTATACTTTGTGCCATAATCAACCAATATAATATTATATTTATTAAAACTCGTGTCCAATCCAAATGAACATATATTTAGCAATCCGAAGAAGTATTAATTAGGGTGTATTCTCTATCAAATTTTATCAAAATTTTACTATTCACCAAAAACCTTTTCCTCCAAAAATATTAAATCAAACACCTAATTTTTTATTTTTTTTAAAATTTTATACTAAAAATCATTTTTACATTCAAAATATAATATCAATACCTATTTATATCACAACATACATCTATTTAAATTTAAAAAATTTTACTATTCAAATCTCAAAACAAATCCAAACCTTCAAACAAATACACCCTTACAAAAAAAAAAAAAAAAAAAAAAAAAAAAAAGAAAGAAAAAGTGAAAGCACACACATGCGTATCTATAATAAACTCACAATAATTGGTATCAAACCAAGTCAGTGATTTGATGAGAAAAATAAATAAATAAATAAAACCATTGGTGCATGCATGTTGTGACAAGCAAATGAAAACATATGTGTTGTGGGCATGTATGTATTTATATGGAATTGCATTGACTTGTTCTAAAGCACTAAAGCAGACTACTACTTTTACATGGCCAATGAATTTGAAATATCCAAAAATCCAAATCAATTAAATCAAATTACAAGCATAGGTTTAAAAAGAAAATGACAAATGCAAGAATATAAAGCCAAAGGTGGATAAAAATAGACCCTTTTAATGTTATTTCCAACTGCTCTTCTTTTCAAGAAATTCAGCTGCTTTTACTTTTAATTTCTTTCTTTTTAGGACTTAGATATACTAAACTATAAAAGTAATTATTTTTGCTTGTTTTGATGTTTACAGGTAAAGGTGCAAAAGGGAACCAAAGTTTAGGCAAATTAAAGAAAAACCTATCAATGCCAGCTTCAAATTTGTTATCTTTTTTTTAAAAAAAATAAAAAATAAAAAATAAAAAAATAGATTCCACCCTATTCATCTCATCATTATTGTAATATATTGACTCACAATCAATAGCAGATTTATAATACATTCATCACTCTATACGCTAATTATATGTTTACTTTAATATATTATCTTGTTGTACCAAATGACTAATAGGTAGAATAATTTTATAATACAAAATAAACAAGTAGATATTTTAATTTTAATTTTTCCTATGCAATCATTACAATTTCCTATAAAAATGGGCTATTTCATCTTAAAGAACTTCACATTCGAACCACTATTCAAATAAAAAACTAAAATCAGAAAACAAAACCAAATTCCAAAAGAACACATATTCCTAGTAAAATAACCTTCTAAACCAAACTCATTTTTTCATCTTTCTAAAAGCATGCATTGGTTCTTGATTTCTTATCTTGTACAACAATGGCACTTTTACACTAGTGATAAAAAAGTCCCAAAAGAAAGAAAAAAGAAAAGAACTATAAACACTATGGCCAATTTATTTCCGGCAGCAAAATCCCAAACAATCTCTGAATTCTAAAATCATGCCAAGCACACATTAATAATAAGCAGCAAAGCCATTTTCTAGCAACTAAAGCAAAGAGCAAAATAAGGCAAAAATAAAAAAAGGGTTCTTGGAATAAGTTTAAACATGACTTGGCCCACCAATCAATCCCATGCACACCACCACCTCAAATAATCTTTTTCCCCCTCATTTTCTGGCTTTTAATTACAGAACAAAATGCACGTACGGAATGCAATAAAGTAGACTAATAGAGGTATAATTAATTGGCATTGGCAGATCAGTATGAAATTATTATCTACCAGCAGTAGTGTAGTGATTGGAGTGTATATTATAATGGCTAGTACCTACAGTTACTACCAAACAATCAGAAGAATCTTTCACTGTCAACAAGGAGTTCCCTCCAAAACTGTGCTCCCATTATTGGTTCCAAAGGAATATTACTACAACATTGCCATCAGAGATAAGTCCAATAGGGTCAAAAGTTAGTGGCCTCTATGGTTTTACAATTCTTTCAACTTATGATAATTGTCCTTTTCCTAGGTGGGTCTTCTAAATATTGATCTATGAAAGCAAAGAGTTCTTAACTTGAAGTCACATGAAGATTTCTATGGGCCTAAAACTGAAAATTGGGTTGCTGTTTCATCTGTCAGACAAGCTGCTTTTCAAAAGATTTCATGTGGGATCAAATGTCTAATCTTATTTCTTCAGTTAGAATATCTATTCAAATTATTTGAAATTTTAAAATTGAATTTTGAATCTAGCAGTAAATGGGTCCAAACTCAAAGGATGGTGTTTCCTTGTGAAACAGACACAATTTACAGGGAACTTTTAAAGAATTACAGCAGCATGTTTTTGGTTGTATTGGGACACAAGAACAGCCTATTTTACATGGGTAAGGGCACAAGATACAAACACTTTATTTAACAAGAGAAACATACCTTTTTTGCAGGCCTGGCTGAAACAGGATTGCGAAAATTCCAGATGTCTGGGATGAGCTAGGTTATTGTTGGATTGCAACATATACAATAGGATAGAATTATGGAGAATAGACTTGAATAAAGTAAAACGTACCGAGTTGGAGAATGGCCATACTCTAGCAGGTATCTCACTGCTCATTGCCACTGCAGCCAACAGCTCATCATGGAATTCGCAAAGTTCTCATTTCAAAGATCACTCATTTTGGCTATCTGACTCGGCCTCAGATGGTGGAAATGGAGCAGCAGCAACATTTTCGGCGCCTTCATTTGTATTACTGGATGGAGAGTCTACACTCTCGGAATCATTAGGGAGAAGAGGAGCTTCTCGCAGTTGTCCACTTAGCAAACCAAACATTAACTCGTGCATCTCATTTGCTGTCATAATATCAAATCTGTGCTCTGAGGTGTGCTGCTGATTAAACCGACCAGGAAGCTTAGAAGAGGTGGTGTAGCAATCTTTACAAAGGTCATAACCTATTTTGTCTGGACAATCCTTGCAATGGTATCTATCTCCAATCATAGGATACATCTGCAGGTATAGTTTCGAAGAATTAATGAATCCTGGTCTGTGAAAATAACTTGTAATGACTGCTAACTGTAAGGTGTGAAGGCTAATTCATGGTGAGAAAGCAAACAATGAACATCAAATGGTCCAAATATTGTAGAGTGGAAGAACCAGTCATTTTCTATCGCATGATGAGAATAAGAACCACACATATGCTCCTTTCACAGTACACCGAATTCCAAGATCCATGAGCCATACAGAAAAACAATCGGGCAGCCTTTTTGGCTCAAATTATAGCTTGGAAAAGAGTTTATATTTTGCAAAAATGAAGAAATATATACATATATATATATGCATGCATTAAGAGTTGAATGATGCATAAAAGAGAAAATATATGCGAACATCAATTATTTCAAGACGGATATTATGCACAAAGCCCCATAGGAAATAAGAAGGCAAACTCATCCAATTCAATAAAGGCACAATCTACTTATAGCTTAAGTAACATATATGAATTCCCCTGTCGTATCCAAGTACTCAAAAGTATCATCAACCAGGTATGGTTCCATGAACCATTACACCATGCAGAAAAGTGTTCCTAAGCATTTAAACATGATCTTATACAGTACTAGTATGATAATCGTAACTGGTCAGGGACTGACAAGAAAATGAATACGTCATTGTGGGATCACACATTCATTATGCAAAACCTCCTTTGTGGTACACTGTCATCATTTTGTCATTCAAGGGAACAAAAAGAAGAAAATGGGTGATCATGTAAACGTAAGATGTATGAATTTAAATATCCTTGAAGGTTCAATTTCAACAGAGTTGGCAATACTCATATACTTCTTACCTGTGAATAAATAATAAAGATGTGGGAAAACCATATTTAGAACTTAGCAACATACCCCACAAGAATCACACCCAACTCCAATATGGACCTTTGAGTTGGCATTCCACCATGGTAAGGGGTCCTCTCCCGATGAAAATGAAATTTGTAAACCCCTTTTAGAAGCAGCTGACAAACCAAAAAACCACAGTAAGAATTAGAAATGGCTGAGAAGAAATGCAGGGAATATTAGTAAAAAACCAGCCATTGAGCCCATAAACAATTGTGACAGATAGGCATAATACACACACAGCACACACACACACACAAACACATATATATATATAACAAGGAAAAGCAGAACAAGAAATCTCTGTCAGAATTGGCAACAGATACCAATTTTCTTGATAACATACATGTCTTTGAAGCTTCGTGATTGGATTTATCCTGTTTCATCAGTGAAGTGCTGCTTCTCAGCCCATATTCCTCAGGAAATTGTTCCTCCAGAAAATGATCAAACTCCAAGCATACTTTTGGAATGTCACCTGGATGTGGGGTCTCACAAACTTGACACTTCAAAACCTCATCTTTATTGATAACAATGCAGCAGGAACAGAATACTGGACAAGTTTCAATTCAAAGTTATTAACAAGGAAAAGAAAAAGGGTAATACTTAGAAACTGATCACAGTAGTAATTGTACAGAAAGAGGTGATTTGGATTTTTTACCATGACCACAATTGAGAATTGTCGGCCGGAAAAGCATGCGCTTGCAGGACTCACACAACACATCATCAATTTCAACCAGCTTGCAAGGTTCATTGCTTTGAGTCTGGTTTGAGTTTCTATCTTTCGGAAGGGAAACACTAGTTACAGCAGAATCTTTTAGGTGGTCTAAAGCAGCCAATACAAGTTCCTGCTGAACTGAACCAAACTGTATATGTCCCTTTGACCTCAAAGGCTTCTCTGCCATCAATACACATGGTTTTTGAGATGGATCTGCATCTGGCAAGCAGGGCAGTGATGCATCAGATGGCTTAGTTTCTGTTTTTTTTTGTTGTAATTGGTGAACAGGACCGTTGATCTGCGGGGAGAAGTAGCCCGTTTCCTTTTCCTCTTCTGTAAGGTAAAACCACCAAATGCGATAAGATGCACATGTGTAGGCACTAAACTATGGATCATCAGTTACCCAATGAGCTATAGATAAATGCTTTACCTAAAGTTTGTTCTTCCCTTCTCTTATAGGCACAGGGATACAATTTTAAGAGCAGCAAGTGGAGCTTCTGACATATACATGGAAAATGAAAATATTGATTCCTGCATATTGGACAACGGGACTTGTACAGCCCACTCATGGATTTATTAACACACCAGAAACACGAGATATGGCCACATGCTGCACCAGTGAAGCAAGAAAAATATAGTCGTAAAACATTATGTAATTCAGGTCTCCACCTATTCAGAATATATAAATTACCTAAAACAACAGGCTTGTAGAGCAGATCCCTGTAAAACAATAAGATGGCTCAACATCAAAAACCTTATTAGGCAATGAACACTAGAAATCAAAACAGAATTTAACGCTTAGGAATCAAACATAATTGTGATCATGTTGAGGATGATCCCTAACATATTGCCACAACAGGAAGAACAAAGTAAAAACAATATCCAAGTATCACAATATACAATTTGAAGATATATTTCCCAGGTGAGCTGCCTACGATAAGTGAAGCACAATCCACAACCTTCAACAAAGGTAACACGAAAAAGAAGGCAACAACCGCGTCGATAAGCGAACCCAACTTCCAATCCAACAAACATCCTTATAAAGTACCAAAAACTGTTCATATTCCTCAATAACAAATGAGCAGCAAACGAAGGGGGAGAAATTAAGCTAATGAATCTTCTGCGGAGGGAAATTATATTACCGACAAATGCAGCAAATAAATGCTTCGGAAATTTTCTCCGTTTCAACATCATCATCGTCTTCATCAGCTTTATCCATCATCATATCGCCAGATTTCTCTTGAACACCAATTCCTTCATCCATTTCGATTCGCCGGGGACCAAACGGCAAGAGAGGGATTGACGCCGAAGACTTAAAACGAACGATAGACACGCGAAATGAACATAGTTTATGTATATGGGCCCATTTATTGGGCCATAAGGCCCAATTACTTATATGGGCCCATTAAAATAAACATATGTAGGCCCAGTTTGTCTGATGGACTTCTACGGTTTTTTTTTTCTCTTTTTAGTTGTTTTATAATTGAATTTGGAAATTTGACAAGATTCCTTAGAATAAAATTTTAAGCTCAATATATGATTTTTTATTTTTTTAAAAATAAAATTACTGTTACAAAACTTCCAAAAGTATCTAGCAAATCCTTAGATTGAATCTTTCCATCTTTATATGCTATATTATAGTTATATTAACATAAATTTGTGCCAAACATATGATATGTGCAGTTTGTATGTTTGTTATGTTTTATCTATGTATATGTTTATTTGTCTTTATTACTCCATCCGTTCTGGATAAATTATCCAACGTTATTGTAAATACAAAAATTTAAGTAAAATATAATTAAAAAGTTTATTAATAAAAATAATTATAAGTTAACATTAAGATAACTAAATAATTTAATTAAAATTAAAAAAATTATAAATTATAAAATTTAAAATGCGATTCATATATATAATTATATTTCAAAAAAAAAATAACATTGGACGAACGAAAATAAAAAATATAAACAATTTATGTGGGATGGAGAAAATATTACATACGCTAGTCTAGTCAAATTAATATGTAAAATAGAGTTTATACTTGCTTAAAAGAATAATAAATATTTTAGTTAGACAGATAAAAAATTGAAAAAACAATTATTTTTAATATTACTCCCTTAGTTAATAATCTTATAAAAGTATATGTATTTTTTTCGCTATTATTACATTCTGTTTTACACAAATACACTCAGACTATACTTTTGAGACGGAGACAACCATATTAGTGAAAGTATATAAGAAATTTTGATAGCATAAAAATAATTGTACGTGTAATATATTCAAAAATGGTAAAAAAATAAATGTACTTCCGACTTCTCACATTATAGCTTCGAGAATACAAGATAATACCTCCTACTATGTTGTATAAATCCATAGTAATTTTTCCTTTACTGAAAACAAATACACATAATATTTCCTATATATATATATATAACTTATCTTGTATCCAAAAGAAGTTAAGGTCTAACATGACTGCAATTCTCCGGCAAAACATTGTTAAAAAGTCTAATGATGTTAGAGCAAACCTGAGGGAAAAAACTATCTGGCAATGTCTGAAAGGTCGTGGCGATCATCCCGATCGAGATTTACACTTTCCAGTTCGATATCAGCTCCTTCATTTGTGAAATGATCATCTGTAGGGATGTTAATGCCTGTGAAACCGAGCAGTATAGCAGCCCCTCCGATGCAATCCATGAGGTTCGGCGCATTCCCCTTCAACGTGTCCACAATCGCCGCTAACGGCACCTGAATTGAGAGACCTGCTGTTGCCACAGTAGTTGTTGTCAGGAGCACGGCCTTTGCCCACAAAAAATCGCTCAACACATTGTCGAACAACCCTGAAATGCAGTGAGTTAGTTATTGAAGGAATCTTTAGCATCGGGATCAGAAGTAAATTGAGATAAAATCAAGCGAAAAATTGAGCACTAGGGGCTCGCTGATCTTGCCAAGAGAAATTTTCATGTCCAAGAAAACAACATTTATGTTACGAGGCTAATGCAAGCTTGAGATAATCTATATTACTATACTAAAAGTTCTTCCCGATGACGATCTAATAAATTAAACCACGCAATATTAACTATTGTAAGAAAAGGACATTCCCATAACTTAGGTTGTGTTCTTTTGTGAATTTTACCACATGTTTTTACTATTCAAATTCTTTTTTTCCTCTAAAAATATCACATTAAACAATTACTCCCTCCGTGCGGCTCTAAGGGTCACAGTTATTTTTTGCGTAATGATCTTTGAATATTAATTATTATATCAAAACATAGTACAAATCAGAGCAAAATGACAAAAATACTTTTATTGGTGCCTTATAATACTGATATAATGATATTTGTACAAAAAATTATACAAATATAAGGATATTTTTAATGTTAGTACAATGACGCAAAATATAAATGAGACCTTAGAGCCGGACGAACGAAGTATTTTTTTTTATATACTCCATACTACAAATTTATTTTACATTCAAAACATCACATCAACCTCTATTTATATCATATCAAACAACTATTCAAATTTAACTTTTTACTATTCAAAAGTTCAAATCCAAAAACTAAAACCCACAAACTAACACACCCTTAGGCATCCACCAAAATAATACTGAAATCCATAGACTACTAGCATATAAATTCCTCAAGATCCAAAAATAATGGTAGGCCAAGAAGATTCGAAACAATGGGTAATCGAACTTAACAAAAAGAAATGCACATCGATTTAGTGATGACTTTCGAAAAAGGAGCTCTGGTACCATACCTTTACCAACAATTAGACTGATTTGCTTCCTGTTAACAGTGCTGAAGGGCTCAATCTTTGCAAAGTTAATTACAACGGCTACGGGGAGAAATAACAATACGTTGAACAAACCCAAGAATCCGAGAAATTGCGCCATGCTGACATGGCCTTGCACACTATCATCTTCATCTGGTAATTTCCTGCGAAGTAGGGTGACATATATAGCATAAAAAGCTGACGATAAAACAGCCAAAATATTTCCAAGAACAGGATTCGAGGCAACTGCAGTTGTTCCTGCTTCTGAATCTCCGAGGCTGACAACTACAGTTCCTCCCATGCAAAGCAACACACTGATCAGCTTAAGCCAAGTGAACTTCTCCCCCAAAAATATAAGAGCAACTAGAAAGCTGAACAAGCTCGATGAACTGCTTAGGATGGTATTCGACTGTGCATCAATAAAAAAGAAACTTCTTGTTACACCAGCTTTGACATGGTAATATAAATCGTATCAGATTTCAGTTCAAAATTTTACCGTCACCGTAGTGTATTTGAGAGATACATTAAAAGCCAGCTGCGCCAAGAAATAGAAAGGGCATATCGACAGGCTAGCTTTCGCAACTCTCCGGCGTGTCCAACGCCCTTTTGGATCCAATTCTTTACTGTAAAAACCCTCAGGAACTCGATTTTGGACCAAAATAGCATCCTTTTCAAGGTGATCAACATTGTCCTTTTGTGCAGGTGCATCTGGATTCAAATCCAATCCGTTAGCTAGAGCTACATTCTTGTCATTTTCAAGAAGAACAGCTCTCTCCATATCCCCTGTCTTTTGCAAACCAGTAACCTCCCGATTCCGACTCTTCCAGAACAATAAGCCTCCATGGTTATCTTCCAAATAACGACCAATTTCAACTAGAGGTATATACACTACAAACAATGCACTGCAAATGTATGTTACAAGAAACGGCGAAACTCCGGCATCTACAACTGATTGAACCACAAAACTAGCAGCAATCCATATCACTGCAACTGCAAATATGTAAATCAATCCTAAAATCCATTTCCATGCGTTACTTTTCATCAGTCCTATGTCCAAAACAATTTCAGAACTCAAATTCTAACGATATACAATCAAATAGGTCTTAATATTCCCTTCAGAACCTCAAAACCTGTCCAGACCCGATCGGAATAAAAGAACTCCAACAGCAAAGTAGAGAAAATCTGGAAAGAAGAAGGAAGCCAATGGTGTCACAGTACAATTTGGAAATCAACAAAAGACATCAAGATCAAAAGCAGAAGACACAAAACCGTTAATCGGAACCGCGTCCAAGTAAACCTAGAACTTTTAGATACTTAAATTACATCATGCATCCAAAATCTCGAACAGCAATCATCGATTGAAAAAGGGAAATTCACAAAATCACTAAACGACGAAGGAAAGAAACAAATGAATCTGAAAAAAGGCACACCAGTTGCGAATGTACAATCTGCCAACGCGTATGATCCTCCGTCCGGAAGCAGAATTTGGGGAAAATCTCCATGTGAAAGAGACCGAATAGGCAAAAGACGATCAATGGCAGATTCGGTTTGTCGCCCTACCCATTTAGAGTTAATGGACCATCCACCCGACGCTTGTTGCCCGACCCATTTAGAGTTAATGGACCATCCACCCAACCCATGTCCGGTTAATGGATCATCAAATGCCACACAGTGACACGGTCACACTTTTTTTTTACCTTAAATTTAAATTTAATGTTTTAAAAGTTGTTTGAGAATTATTAATTGATTCATGCTCTTTTAACTTATTTGATAAATCAAATAATTAATTTTTCAAAATATTTGATAATTAATTTTATAAATATACATTACCATTTTGCAATAATCTTTTTATTCTAATATTTTTTAAATTATTCTTAAACGCTAATCTTATTATGCACATAAATATTGATTAGATGGAAACACTAAAGGGTAACTACTATGAGTTCTATCTAAAAAGAAAAATTCATATTATTTACATACATATTAATATGAAAAATGTTAAATTATAAATATTTTTGTTCATTAAGAATACTAAATTTTTTAATAATCAGTATTCAAAAAAAAATGCATGGAAAAATTTAAAAGTTTGTATTTCAAACACAAATCAAATTATTCAGATTTTGGATAAAATATCTTGTTTTTTTTTTCTTCACAAATAAAAAATTAAATCAAAACCAAAAAACCCATTAAATGTGTTCTTTTAAAAAGAAATACATAGTTTTTCTAAAAAAATAATAATATATGACACATATTCATTATTTTTATATTCTGTACATAATTTTTCATATCTCAAAGTTAAAAAAATATTCATTCAAATTATGCAACCACCAAACACGCCCATTGTTTTTTATTGTTTACACAATATTCAAATAAAAATAAATTTATTCATATTTTTAACAATCACTAACAATAAAATTTTTACCAAATCGAGAATAATGTTGAATTAAAGCAAACATACTCATACCATTTTAAGAATGTATGTTAAATGTCAATTTTTATTCAAAGTTATATATATTATAAGTATTTTTAAAATACTTAAATAATAAATAATTAATTAGTGTATATGTATAGTAACATGGTTCGTACTTAATATGGTTAGTAGAATAATTACGTATGAAATTATAGTTATTTGGAATGAATGAATGATGTTGAATACTTTATTTTAGATACAGTATTAAATACTCTATCCGTCCAGCTAGAAAATATATATATTTTTATTTTAGGACGTCCAATTACAAAGTAAATATTTCATTAAATATCTCACTTTTTTTCTACAAATATCATTACTTTACATCACATCGTTATTTTTATAAAAAAAAACAAGAGCAAAAATGTCATTTTACTACTTTTAACTACCTATTATAATTAAAATACTATTATTTCTTAAATACCGCGCCAAAAGTAAATGTTTACTTTGTGTGTGCACGGAGGGAGTTTTTATATTTATATTTAACATAATTAATATATTTGCGTTATTATAATACTCCCTCCGTCCCATAAATATAGTTTTAATTGGGTTGAACACGAGATTCAATGAATATTGATATTACATCGGTAGTTGGCAAAAAGTATGAATAAAAGACTTTTTTGCCTTTGTGAGTGTATTAGTGTAAAAAGTAGTGGCAATTGTGTAATAAAAATGAAAAAAATAAGAATAGTTTATGGTGATATGATTATTTATGAAAACAAAACTATTGTTTTTTAGACGGACAAAAATGGTAGAGTAACTACTGTCGGAATCCTCTATGACGGTTGTATTAACGTCATTTAGGACCACTCTTTATTATTATTCTTAATTAGTTACTAATCCTCTAGAGTCTTCATTGTACATAAATTAATATTGAAGAGCTCTGGTAACAGATTAATTTCTTTTTATTATTATAAAATTAATCTATATTGAATAAAATAAAATACTAAATAGTTTAAATTACATAAAATATTAATTATATTATTAATTTAATATAATTCAAAATATAATGGTAATATATTTAACAATATTATTAAATTAGTGTAAATATATTAGGCAAAATTGTCCATAATTCTTTTATGGTTTCGAAACTCAGCGTAAATTCCTCCTCTACTTTAAAAATTACATGACGTCCCCTTATACTTAAAAAAATGTTGCATGAAACCACTTTGCGGTTTCGAAACTCAGCATAAATCACCATTTTACTTTAAAAAATTGCATGACACTCACTTATACTTTAAAAAATATTGCATAAAATCCCATGCTATGCAAACATATAGATAGGAAATCATCTTCTTATCACACGAAGAAAGTTTCATGGTGGTGGGGTTTCATGCAACGTTTTTTAAAGTGTAAAGGGTACCATACAATTTTTAAATTATATAGAAATTTTAAACTGAATTTCAAAACCACTTGGGAGTTATAAGCAATTTGACCAATATATTAAAGGCCATATATATAATAAGTTTGTTTTGTGTTTTGATTTGAAAAGATTAGTTTGATACAACGACCATGAAACTAGCCCTTGAGTTTTGAAGGGCAAAAAATATGAATTTATTCTAATAATTCAAAATTTTTTTTTTCTTTGGTGCAATGGTGTAAAGAAAAGGAAAAAAAAAAAAATACCGAGCAAAAATAATACTTCATCCCTAAATATCGTGCAATATTTTTTTTTGTATGTCCCAAACACCCTGTAATATTTCCAAAATAGGAAATAATTAATTATACTAAATCTCACTCCACGCTTTATCCTATCACATTATCCAAATAAAAAAATAAAATATATATTTCTCTCTCTATCATGTCACCTAATTTCTAAATTATCATACTTAATACTACCCACCTAAAAATCCGTGCCCAAAACAAATATTGCACCTTATTTGGAATTGAGAGAGTATATGTTTGGAGTAAAAAAAAAATTAATAATAACTATATAAATTTTATTCTTTTTTACAAAAAATAATTAAATATTAAAAGACAAATCAATAAAACTAATAAATTTCATTATTTTTTACAAAAAATAAAAATAAAATAAAATTTTGGAAGGGAGGGGGTAAATTACTAAAATACATTAAATTTATTGTTTTTAAACTAAAAAATACATTTTGGGGGGATATAATATATATATTATATTAACTTTTTGGAATAAATATATTAATTTATTTTAGAAAAGAATCAAACTCTTAATGAAATAATGAATTTAGTTTTAATTATAAATAATTTTCAATATCACACAATTATTAATAAAAATATAGTGTGTTCGCTTGGTTGTGTTTGTTTGAAAGTTTAAATTTTGAATTTGCATTTGCATTTTTAGTAATAAAAAACTAAATTGAAATAAAAATATAAATAGTTATTGATGTAATAAGTTAAATGAAAAATCAATTTATGATATAATAATATAAATAAAAAATAAAAAAATAAATATTTGATTAAATTCATTTGAAGAAAAAAATTTTTATTGAAAAATATAAAATTTATAAAAAAAAAATCAAGGAAAAAAAATTATTTTTAGTTACCATATAATAAAAATTCATGAATTTTGGTCCCAATATAAAATTTTTATCAATTTTGGTCCCAATATAATCAAAACTTATCGGTCCCAATATAAAATTTTTATCAATTTTAGTCTAACTATAATAAAAATTCATCATTTTTGTCCAAATATAATCAAATATTATCTTTTTTGGTCACACCATCAACAAACCGACGGAAAATGCTAACGTAGACTTATAAGATCGTGCAATTTCTTCAAATATAAATATAAGGTTTGATTTATTTTCACGTCAGCATTTTCCGTTGGTTTGTTGACAGTGAGACCAAAAAAGATAAAGTTTGATTATATTTGGACAAAAAATAATGAGTTTTTGTTATATTAGGACTAAAATTGATAAAAATTTTATATTTAGACCAAAAATAATGAGTTTTGGTTATATTAGGACCAAAATTGATTAAAATCTTATATTCGGACCATAATTGATAAATTTTGGTTATATTAGGATTAAAAATAATTTTTTCCCAAAAATCAAATATGATATACCTTAGGTTTCAAGTTCGAATTTCACTGTGCATAAGTCATTATTTAGAATTCTAAAAGATCTTTTACAGTGGTGGCAGTGGGCTGAAGTCCAATATAATAATTAGTGGGCCGAAGCCCAATTGATACAGAGGCCCAAGAAGCCATATTGGCCCAAAAGTGTGTATATATATATAGAGAATAAACTGTTTTTTTAGTCCCGTAATTGGACCCTCTTATCATTTTAGTTCCGTAAGTGGAGCCTGTCGCAAACTAGTCCCATAAATGAAGAATTTTCGCTGTTTTAGTCCTCCGGCGCCGGAGACGCCCGCGTAGCTCGCCGGAGGTGACGTGTTTGCCAGGTCAATGACACCTGGGCGACACGTGGATTTTTTTAATTTTTCTAAATTTTTTTATAACTTATTTTTAAATTTATTTGTATTTTTTTATTTTTTTTATTTGGTCTAATTAAAAAAAATTAAAAAACAATAAAAAAATGAAATAAATAAATAAATCCACGTGTCCGTCAGGTGTCGCTGAACACCTGGCGGACACGTCACCTCCGGCGAGCCACGCGGAGCGTCTCCGGCGCCGGAGGACTAAAACAATGAAAATTTTTCACTTATGGAACTAGTTTGCGACATACTCCATTTACGAGACTAAAATGATAAGGGGATCCAGTTATGAATTAAAAAAAATAGTTTACCCTATATATATATATTTAGCACAAAGATAACCTTTTTAAGTTTTTTCAAATTTCAATTAAAAATTACATATAATTAATAATAAAAATAGACTAATTCATTTAATGTATAAGACATCACATTAAACTTTTCTATAACACAAACTAAAACCACTTGCTTCATGAGTTCAAATCTCATTTCTTATAATTTAATTTACCTGGATGTGTTCACACAAAACATATAACATATA